GAGAGGCCCATACTGTTTGATCCGTTGGAGGCTCCTGGTGATGATGCTCCTGATGAGGGGGCGGGTGTGGGAATGGATGAAGATGGTGATGAAGAAATGATCGAAGATGAGCTTGGTGACTATTCTCCTTCGGAAGCGCCTGAGAACCAGGAGGTTGTGAACGATGAGGGGGATATGGAAATAGACTGGCTCACGAATCACTATCTTGAGTCCCTGTTTCGAGGGCCTGACCTTCGAGCCGCCTCCACTGCAGTCGCAAAGTCGTTTGATTTGAAGTTTGGGGGTACGAAGATAAGGTGTGCTGTTCCCCAGGACGCTGTTTCTGAGACTTCGGGAGAGAAGCTAGAACCCGACCTCCTTTACGCATCAATGAAGCTTGAGTTGGAAGAGTTGGAGTCCTTTAAGGTTGGGGAAGTTATCCCTGAGCGCGAAGCTCGCCGTCTTGCTAAGGAAAACGGCAGGCGAGTTTTGACTAGCAGGTGGGTCAACACGGTCAAGAAGAAGGGACTGTATAGATCTAGGCTAGTCGTGCGGGATTATGCCTCTATGGGAGGCACCACCTTGAGTGAGGGAATCTACTCTCCTACTACTTCATTGGAGGGTCTGAGATTGCTTCTATCAATGCTCTGCCGACGTGGCAGTGTGTTGTCCTGCGATGTCTCGGTAGCGTTCATGCATGCTCCCGTAGCGAGGGCAGAATTCGTAGAGTTGCCGAATAATGTGAGCACCCAGGGGACTGGGGAACGAGTTTTCGTCAAATTGCGGAAAGCGATGAACGGATTGCGCTCTGCTCCATTATCTTGGTATTGCGAGTTGGCTGAATACTTGCGCTCTCAGAACTTCGAAGCAAGTTTGGATCCCACTATATTCCGTCGTCTTACGAGGAAGGGTTTGACGATTGTGTTGTTTTATGTGGATGACTTGCTGATCTATAGTGAAGATGAAGCTGAGGGGCGCCGGTTCTACGAGGAGTTGCGTAAAAGATACAAACTGAAACTTACGGGCGAGTTGATTCAAGATTGCCCCGGGGAAGTCTCGTTTCTCGGTCGGCGGATCTTTCGCCGTAAGAAAGGGGAACGTACGGTGTATTTCGGGCTAGACGAACAGTACCTGAGTTCCTGTTGCGAGGAGTACGGAATCACCAAACCTGCACCAAAGCTCCCTTCCCTTGAACGCCGCTATGCCGAGTTGCTGAAGAAAGGCCAGACTGAGCCGATCAGTCCAGCTGCTCACGAAAGGTACAGAAGGACTCTGGGCCGTTTGGCCTGGGCGGCTTTATCGCGACCAGACCTGCAGTTTGTGTGTGGGTTTCTGGGCCGCCATCAAGCAGCTCCTGACGAGGCTGCCGAGACCTGTATGAGGGATGTCCTTCGTTGGGTCAAGGGTCTTCCGCACAAGGTCCAGAGGTTTCCGAGCAAAAGGGAGATCTTGGAAGATGATGCGGACCCTGCCTCTGTATCTTGTTTTACGGACGCGAGCTGGAGTCTGAATTCGGTAAGCGGCGGAATCATCACGTGGGAGAACTGTTCCCTGAAAAGCTTCAGCAGGAAACAAACGACTACCGCACTCTCCAGTGCGGAAGCTGAACTCGCTGCACTCACAGAGGTTGCTCGTGAAGGGTTGTACATTGCTTTGCTTGTGGAGACCATCCGCGAGGGTATGCCGAAAGACAGGGAAACCGGTTATTATGTTCTTAAGGGATATTCTGATTCCGAATCGGCGGTTTGTATATCTAAGATGCAGACCCTCCTGAGGAAAGTTAGGCACATCGAACTTCGTGCTGCATTCCTTCAGGAGCTGGTGGCCAGGGGTCGTTTTACCATAGAACACATACCCGGGGTGATAAACCCTGCGGACGCCCTCACGAAGAGCCCTACTAACGAAAGTTTGGCTAGCTTGTACGATGCCTCTGGCCTTGTAGATGAACCGAAGGCCTGGGAGAGTGAGCCTACTGAGGTGCACGTGTCTTTTGAAGAGCCCAATGAAAACGAACGTTTTACTCCGTCTGTTCCGCCTTCCTGGAAAGCCGCTGCGTTGAAGCTAGCTCGCGGTGAAGCTAAGTACGTAGTGGTTGAACTGTGTTGTGAAGAAGGAAGCGCGTTGTCCAAAGCCTGCTCGAAGGTCCCCGAGATCGCCTACTTTGGGGTGACTAAGGAGGTTGATCTTCTGAGCTATAATGGCTTGTGTCTTCTGAGAGAAGTTTTCGGAGTCGTAGATGAAGGTGGGGTCAAGGTGTATGCTCACCTGTCTACTCCGTGCTCTGCTGGGTGTGGTTTAAGGCACCTGAGGTTTAAAAAGGGAGGAAAAGCCCTGGAGAAGTGGAGAGCGGCTCTGGCCGTTCACAAGAGGTCCTGGAAAAGGATCGAGAAGCTGTTGGAGCCTTACGTGGGCTCCCCGAACCTTCTGCTTTCTCACGAGTGGCCTGAGAGGTCAGGACTGTGGGATGAGACTGTGTTTAAGAGGGTTTCTAAGAAGCTTCGTTTGGATCAGGGTTGCCTTGTGGATCGTTGTTGCTTTGAAAAGGGTGACCAACGACCTTGGAAAAGATGGTGGTTTGTGTCTAACCGCACAGAGTTTGTGTGGGGACTTTCGTCTCAGTGCTCTGAGGGACACGGCCACTACTACCTTCCTCTTCCTGAGTCAGGTGTGTATCCAGCGGGTTTAGGATTCGCTCTCTTGAAGAACGCGAAGAAGACTTTTGAGGAGAAGTGAAGAGGACTCTCGGGCATGAGGGGGTGTGAAAAGTTTGCTCCTTTTAGGTGTGCCCTTGAGTACCGACATGCTTGTTTTGCGCATGAGAAAGGGTTTCATCCTTTTTGCCTTGAACTGTTTTGTCTTGGAAGCTTGAACAGGCATTTGCATGGCTAACACATGTTTTGGCATGTTTGCAGTTGCGTTGAAGACCATGATGAGCGTTTACAGCACTAGAGATGCTTTTGGGCATCCTTGAAGAAGTGCGTGTTGCTCTGACTGCACTGTTGCTGTTTTCCGCCGACCCTCGCTTCGCTCGTGCCGGTAGGAACAGGCCAAGGGACAGAGTGGCTGTGCACTGCTGTTTGAGTGAGTACAGAAGTCCTGAGAAGTGTTAGGACAGTTGCATGTCATTCCTCCTTTGTTTAGCAAAGTTGAGACGGAATTAGCTGCGCGAGACTCCGCAAGAGACCTTGCTGAACACTTCGGTGTTTGGCTCAAGCGTGGAGTGAAAAGAGACTTGCTCTGCGTTTTTCACAAGCAAGGCCAAATGGTGTTCCAAGAGGCCGCGCAGCAAGCCACCCACGATCATATCCTCAAGCTGGAATGTCTGTATGCATAGCACCAGGGCAGAGCTTTCATCCTTCCGATCCAAGCAGAGGTCAACATAGAAATCCCACAGCAGGGAGAAGTGGTACGGAGCAAGTGTTCGGGCAGAAGACACTTCAATAACCTGTCCCACCGAATCTCTGAGTTTGAGGAACCCAGATGAAGGAAGAAAGTACAACTGGGTTCTAGACTATGTTCAGTGTGCCTCTTATTCAGCTAAACTGGTGATCTAACTACGTAAACTGCATACGAGGGCTTTCTGTGTCCATGGCAGTCATTCGATGCAGTTCGGGCGATTTGCTCTGCTTCAACGCATGCAGCATTGGCGATCCAATGTGTCAGATGAACTGCAACCTTGCAACCTGTTGAGAACAAAAGAGACGTTAAAAGGCGGGTATGCGCGGCGTTTTCGCTCTCACTGACCGGCAAGTCCACACTGTTTGCACAGCGCTTCCGCTGGCCTTCGACCGGAATGGTGGCAGAGGAACATGGAAAGAAGGTTGCAGTTGCCCTATTCGGCCACGTGGCGGAACATGTTGCCAAAGCCAAGAGCTCGAACACCACGCGACAACCCGTCTGCTCATGGCAAAGCGAAGCGGAATTTGCGAGAGGTTTCTCGTCGCCTTCTGCTCCATGTCCATACAGGAAGCTTGCCGGTAGGCAGGCTCCGTTGAGCAATCGTAACTCCAGTAGGCGTGTCTGAGCTGCCACTGGGAAGGATCCGGCGTCGCGCAAATAACTGAGCCGGCACCGAGGTCATGCAACCTGGCGCGGATAGGACTTCCATGACCGAGTACCTATAGCACTGGGAGCCGAAGGTTAGTATGAGAGAACGCCACTCACTTCTGCACGCTCGCCTCTTAGCGTCTGCTTAGGTCTGTGTTTTTTCTCAATTGCCAAGAACGCTTCTCTCACGGCCTCGTGTTTGGGCTCTGCTTTGTCGTAGTTTCGTCGTCACTGCTTGGCATTGGTCGCGTCACCATCGGTGCATGTTGCGGCCGGGAGCCTGGACTTGGCTCCACCTGCTGTTTTGGGCAGCTCTGGGCGACGGCCCATTGTTCCTCCTGACCGGTCGCTGAGGCCCCGTAGCTCGTGCTGAACGGCCAACATTGGCAAAGCCTGTGCGCCGCAGCCCTTTGTAGAGCTTCGCTTTGCTGTTTCACTGCTTTGTTGTAGTTTGATGTTTGGATTGTACCCAGAGCTTCCAAAGATGTTTAAATAAGGAAACCATGCTTAAGTATATAATTAATCAACATAAAAATTGTTTAATTAGGCTGTAAAACCTTAATTAAACAATGTTTCTTGTTAAAACTGTTTAAATAAACACTTTTACTTGTTTAATTAAGCAATACAATGCTTAATTAAACAATCATTGCTTAAATGTTGTTGAAAATAACACATCTTAATTAAGCATGGTATTTCTTCTTGCAAGATCGATCATTTTTGCTACATGGGCCGATCGATGAATCGTTGAGCATGATGTAATGTTTGTCATGGATTTTTTGGGAGTTGCGGCAATGTTTTTTGCGAGAACCGAACAATTGTGCGGTGTGTGCATGCATGCTTGCAGGTGATCATCGTAAGCAGCTTGCAGTGCAGTGTGCGTGGAACATGCAGCAGCAGATTATAATGATCCATGTTGCAGCTTCCCTAAATTTTAACCAGTTTTGCAGTATATACAGAGTTTAGATCCGGGCAGCATGGAGTTCGATTTGAAAAGCAGTCCGAGGGCGAAGAACACGGCTACAGCGAAGGACATTTGCGCCTGCTTCGTGATTCATTTCAAGAACCGACCTATCGATATAGCATCTTTCAGAGAGGCAGATACAAAAGTCGTGCAAGAGCATGAGGCCTTGATCCAAGAAATCGTGGAAAAAACTTTGAGGCCGACAGTGAATGTCCTGAGGGATGGCATTATGCAGGCCTTTGAGATAAGCAAAGACGATGCACAGGAAATTGCCAAGAAGATCTGCTCCTGCTTCGTTCTTGCTCGAAGCAAGATGCAGAGCACCTCCACTGGCAAGAAATTGGAGCCAGCGCTCTGGAGGCTTGTGCAGAGGCTTAAGAGTTTGTCCGACACTTGCAATTCTTCGCCGAAAGCACCTAGTTCGAAGGCCAGTTCTCACGAAGTTCCATCGACATCCCGGGCTTCCAACTTGAAGAAGAGGTTGTTGTTCTCTCCTGAGAGGAGAGTGAGACGCAAGACGGCTGCACGTCCCGAGTCCGCCAAAGAGATTTTGTCGGTTTATGGACTTAATCGGACAGATGCAGAGGAGGAGGTTAAAGATGCAGACGTCGAGCTTGCAGACGAAGCTGGCGATGTTGATGACTTTGGTGTTATTCATGACAGCCAAAGCGAAATTGAAATCTGCTCGTCGGAAAATGAGGAGCCGGCCGCAGCGAAGACCAAAGGACGAGCAAAGAAGGCTTATTTTGACCCTGCGGCTGGATGCTACATCAGACTCAATCCAGATGGCCAAGAAGTGAGAGGAGAACTTTCAGAGGGACCTGAGGGGTTCTGCATGGTTCGCTTTCCATCTGAAATGCCATTCCAATCGGAGGTGCCGAATTTATGGCTTGCTCAGATGAATGAAGGCAAAAAAGGCCCGAAGCTGAAACGAGCTCGTGGGAAAGCTAAAGCCAAAGCGAAGGGCAAGTGTAAGCAGTCGTCCGCCCCGGAGGAGCAGGAAGCACCGGATTCCGAAGCAGCTCCTGCTGAGGAGTCTCCTGATGCAGCAAGCGATTCTGGTCCTGACAAAAAGCTCGAGGCGGCGAGGCCTGCAAATTCTGCAGCTAGTGATGCACTCCTGTTCCAAGGCTATGATATCACAGGAATGCCAGAAGAGGCTCAGCCACCGGCCGATGCTTCGGGCAAGCACTCTTACACTGTTCGACTGCCGGACGGGATCGCCATTGACGTCCTTGTGAGGAACAAGGCTTTCTGGATCAAGAAGCCAACAGAATGCCGATCCCAGTACTCCTGGTCGCAGTACGACAATTTAGCAGATGCTTGGAGTGACTGCATTAAATATTGCCGGGATTCTTTGGCAGACAAGCAGAAGAAGGCTGAGTCGGTTAAAACCCTGACCTGAATCGTGCGGGTGGCGGGGATATTTCGATCGAGCTATAGGATTGTGTATATCAGCGATTGTACAGGTGGATGGAATTGCAAAGATCGACATGCTGCATGCATGCAGGATTGGACGAAAAATATTTTTGTCAGAAGTTTTGCAGTTTCGCATAGTTTGCTTAAGTCACTAGTGCAAGTGCAGAGATTTTGACGAATCATGTTGCTGGTGCACACACATGCTTGACTTGATGTTGCTGCAGCCGTTTTTGCATGAGTGTTTTCGTTGTTGCTTTGTAAAGTCCGGGCCTCAGAGTGCTAGCTTAAGTTCCGAAGACACATGTTGAGATCTGGACATGTGCTCTGCCAGTGCAGGTGTTAGGTGTTGTTTTGCTGACTGCATGCACTAGCAGTTCAGAAGTCCAAGCATGAGCTCCTTGGGAGGAGCTAGGTTAAAGAATCTTGGCTGTGCTTGCAGGTTTGGCGGCAGCAGCTGCGATCCCGGTCGATCTTCAAATTCGAGATCGAGGTGCGACGGCATATGTTTGCATTTCTGTGCAGCAGTCTTAATTGCAGTGCATGCTAGCTCCTTGGTAGGAGCATGTGCATGTTTTGAGATGCAGGTGAGATGTAGATCTGCTGGCGATCGCTGTTTGCAGGGCATACAGATGTGCTGAAAACTCCTTGGTAGGAGGTAGCAATCAGGATTCGAGTATTGTGCAGCTGCGATTGCTCGATATCTTTTTTGAGCTTGGTAGCTCTGCAGCTATGTTGAGCAAGTCGCAGCGCGATGCACCTGAAGCCCTGCAGGACATTCGTATGTGTCCGAAGTGCGGCACCCGCAGTTATCTCCGCAAGCGGGTGTGTATCAACATCTTATGCCAGTGGTATTACATGCGTCAGGAGCCCAATACCAATCTTTGGGCACGTGGCCCCATTCAGAGTTCAAATGCCCAGACTGCATCCTCGGGGTCCCTGGGCTCTTCGAGCATGCAACGATCCTGGAGCTGGACCTCGTGGAAGAACAGCGGCTACGCTGACGGCGTATATCAGAACAAGCTTGAGCAACAACTCCAAGACGTCCTCGAGGAGGAGGAAGCGGACTCGGAGGAGCCGGAGGACCCGGAGGTTCAGGTTGTGGCTGCTCGGGAAGGCGACGGGCCACGGATCGAGGAGGTCGTGTCCAGCGACGAAGAGGCGAATGCCTTCATCTTCGGCTTGGAGAAGAAAAACCAAGTGAGCTCTTATTCCGAGTATGAGGAGGCCCGCCATGCATGGGAAAGCGCTTCCCAGGAGCACAAGGCGGGGCATGCTCTGAGGTCAGCCATAAAGATGGAGAAGGAGCATAGCTATGGCTCGGAGAAGGCTGCATCGGCAGCCCAAGTGGCCCTTGAGGAGGGCCAAAAGTGGCAGAGGCTTCAGGCCAAGGGTGCTGCTTCGGAGAGGTTTGCAAAAGCAGTGGAAAAACGGCGCTTTGTGCCTGTGAAAGCAGAGCCGCCGGTGCAGGATGACCCGTATATGCAGTATGGGCAAGCTCCTGTGGAGGAGCCAAGCACCGGGGCCGGTGACACTGCTGAGCAAAGCACGGCTGCGAATGAGCAAAGTACCCGTGAGGATACTTGGGGCGATTATTCAAGCAGCTATGGCCGTGGTTGGAAGAGCGGCGGTCGCAAGCAGCAGTCGAGCTCCAGCTGGGAGAGGCCCGGCCCGCAGAGTGGCAGAAGCCAGGATGCCATGCAGAAGTACAATGAATGGGAAGAGTTTATGGATAAAAAATCCCAGGCTTATTGGGGCTCGGATCGATGGCAGCGGGACTATGCCTCTCAGGAGCAACAGCAGTCTTTCAAGAAGAGCAAAGGCAAGAAAAGAAAATTGTGGCTCGCCAGCCAGATTGAGACTCTGAAGCAGGAGGGCAGATGGGTCGGAGGAGCTCCGTCGGAATCCTCCAAGAAGCTTCGTTTGATCCGTGAGGCCTGGGTTAAATTCTGTGGTATCAGGGTATATGCTCCTAGGTAGGAGCCAGCTTCTGCAGATGCTCAGTGCATCTGTTATAACTTAAGTCACATCAGTATGAAGCACATGTTCATTCTGTTTGCAGGCCGAGGCGAAGCAGATTGCAGGCCAAGGAGCCCGTCAGGAGGGCGGTGGTGCAGCTGAGGAGCCAGCTGCAGTGGATGCGGGTCCTGACGAGGCTCAGGAGGAGCCCGGCTCGGGGCATACCTGGCAGAGCTTCCGATCCATGGTGGAAGGCGCCGAGACCATTGAACACGTGATTGGTCTTGATGAAGCCTACAAGCACCTGAAGAATAACGAAGCGGAAACACAGGCAGAGCAGGCGGCTGCAGATGAAACCCAGGAAGACCCTGAGGATCTGACGAACTCCGTTGAGGCAGTGTCTGCTGTAGCATAGGTGTCTTCCGCCGGATTGATCTTCCCGCAACGAGACGATAAAAACAAGGACTCCTTGGCAGGAGTCGCCAGCTAGTGTGCATCTGTGTTTGGGTCGGCAGTGCTCGTAGGTTGCAGCTTGTTGGTAGGAGTCGGCAGCTGGTGTGCATCACGTTTGCAGTTTGTTGCTCCTTGGTAGGAGTGGTCCTGCTCCTGGGTAGGAGTTTGTTCACGTGTACACATGCATGTCGTCTAGCGATTGCCAGGTCTTCGCAGCATGGAGGATCAGAACCCAGGCCAGTTCCATTTGTGATTCGTGTCCAATTCTCTCTGAGGTCTGTTGTGGGGAGTGATGGGTGAAGATAGATTCTGGTAAGCGACGAAAAATTTTTAACAAGCTTTTTTTTAACAAATTTTTAACTGTTAAAAAAATGGCTTATGAAAGGAATCCCTTCATAAGCCATTTTTTTTAACAGTTAAAAATTTGTTAAAAAAAAGCTTGTTAAAAATTTTCGGGGTCTTCCTAGACCCAGGTGCGGATCCGCAGAGCGACCATTCTCCACCGCATTGGCATCGGCAGCTGTACCCAGCCAGGTTCTTGGATTCAAGTTCGGCAGCAGAGTTTTGACTTTCTGCAGGCCAGCCCTGCCATGCAAAGGCTCGATTGTGGATGAAACAGCAACTGAGCTGGCACATGGGAGGCATGAGGCAGCGACCTGTGCTTCATTTGCCGTTGTTCGCTTTGCAGCTGATGAGAAGGCTTTTCACGACCCGGTTGAGTGCATTCGCTCTGTGGTTTCTGTACGATACATTTGATTGCTCCGAGCAGTGCTTCCAAAAGTTCTTGTATGAATGGTATACTCGTTATGTTGGCTATTGGAATGATAGATACTTCCTGAAGTGTCGCTCGGTCTCTGGAAGTGCCATCTCCTTGGCTAGGAGATTAGGTGCTGACATGCATTGGTGGCAAAACGATTATGATTTGGACGAGCTCTGACCTGCCGGCGAAGGCGATGGTGTCTTGCAAAATGAAATAACTTATGCATGCTGTGTGCAACAGTGAACATGTCATGGCACTCGTGTGCCACCGTTCTCGACTCTTCGCATGAATTTTCTGCTGAATCAATGTTTAGATCGAGCTCAGCTCACGATATATGATCGGGTAGCATTCCTGTAGCCTCCCCGGATTGATGGCGCCGGCCCAGAGCAAGGGTGGCAAAGGTCCGCAGAACAGCAAGATGGCCAAGGCCATGGCTGCAAAGAGCAAGGCCGCCAAGGCTAAGGTTAAGCACGAAAAGCAGGCGACCCCCAAGAGGAAAGCCAAGGCTGCCAAGGTGGAGCTCGGTGATGCGGGCGAGGAAGACGATGATTCAACGGCACCGAGCGGCTTGGGGTATGCTCGGGGCACAATTTCAGCTGCTTTGACCGGGCTTCGCTATCAGCTCAAAGCTAAAAAAACTACGGACGAAGAGAAACAAAACGCCCAAAAAGTACTCGAGGACCGCCTGCATCTTGCACTTCCGGTACTTCCGTGCCAGTTGTTTTGATTCTTGTTTTCGTTCCACTGGTGCTCCTTGGCAGGAGTACGAGGCGGGGGACATTGCCACCAAGAGAGAGATATTGAGCAAGGTCTCACAGTTCGGCGTCCGTCAGTGTAATTGGGTACACGATTTGGTCAAGACGACCGTGAATACCAACAGTGAGCACGAAGATACCGTCAAGAACTGGTACACTCGGATTTTCGGTGGCAGTTTTGTCAGATTTTTGCTCTTGTTTGATTGTCTATTCTATGATTATATTCTCTAGGCTTCGACTATGGAACGGATGATTATATTGAGCATGCATGCAGACTGCATGCAGGACGGCAATTTTCAAGCTGGAGGGCATCGATGAAAGCGGCTTGGAGGAAGATATGAAGAAGGATCTGCTGGAAGAGCTGATGTCCGAAGCCGAAAAGCGGTACGGCTATGAGAGATCGACGAAAATTCACCCCAAGTTCGAGGTGCTCAGCAAGTACTTCTACGTGCACTCGAAAGGCCAGGTGGCCCGCCAGGCCACTAAGACGGAGGAGTCCCTGGGAAGCCATTGTTCCGGCATGAAGAACTTGCAGTTGAAGGACAAGAGGTCCCTCGACATCATGTTGGGCAAGAGTGCGGCAAGCTCCAGTTCCAAGGATCCGGCTTTGCAGCCGAGCCAGAGCCATACCCTGGCAAAAGATCTTTTGAAGAAGATCGTGGCCGAGAAGAGAAAGCTGACCCAAAACAACGAGGAGCTGAAGTCTTTGAAGACCAAGATTTCCACGAAGTACAGCGGGGACAAAACATGGGATAATCGCAAGGACGACGTCGATCAGGCGATCGCAGCTCTCGAGGACTTCTTGGGTGTTCTTCGCCAGCACGAGGCCGAGAGTGTGCCGGCGGATGTTACTTCCGATTGCACCGAGCTTGTGGCCACCTTTCACACTGTCGTCGACCAGGCTGCCAACCACGACAAAGGCAGCAAGGCCTTGCTCAAGAAAGTCAATGGCCTGATGGAGTGATCGGCCCTAGGCTTGAGATTCATCACCCTCGATGATATTATCCGGTAGGAGTACAGGTGTTGTTCCAAGTTCGCCTTGAGACGGAGCTCCTTGGCAGGAGAGGCTGCACTGACCTCGCAGTGGTAGAAAATGCGTGCATGCAATGCTTCTTCTCGCATGTTTGCAGCTATGAGACCCGTGAGTGCTTGCAGACTTTCTGTTGCTTCTTACATTCTGCAGGCTCGGCCCCATGTCGCACAGGCACGTGCGCATAGCTACTTCGATCTAAGTAAATTCATATACTAAGACAGTGTATGTTTATAAATATATATATATATATATATATATATATATATACTGTATATATGTGAAAACCGCATGTACTTTGGATTAATTTTTGATTGTCCAGACATTGTTCTGTAGGGTTCGCTTCGCTTCGAGACTTGCCGGCAATGTTCAACAAAAGATCTTTGACAACAGAAGATGTCCAGGCCGTTGCTCCTGCAAAACGATTCAGGTCCGAGATGGTCGACATATTTTTAAACAATGAGCTCAGTTCTGAGCGAAGCGCTCGAGTACTGCGGTCAGCACAGCAAGCCGGGGCACTGCATGTGGAAGATTTACAGGTCCGCCCAGAGACTCGCAACACCCATCGGGATCTTTTGCGAAAATGTTTCAGAAACACGAAATGGCCTTCGTTATATCATGCAAAGGTTCGTGGCTGGAATCAGGCGAAGAATACGTCTGAAGAGTATTCCTTGGCAATTTTGCTGCCTCACGAATCCTTGCACTCACTGCTCAAAGTGAACACGCCAGAGGCCTTGCTTCAGCAGCAAGCCGAGATCTTGCCTGACAGGCCTGACCTGGAGAACCACTTGCATTTTTTGGAGGATGAGTTGGGCTTGGATTCTGAATCCACTCTCCTCATGGGGATGTGGTGCGATGGTGTGCCTTTCAACAGCGACCGATCCATGACTTTGGAGACGATTTCTTTGAACATCTTTGGCCAGCAGAATCTTCGCCTGCCTGTTGCGGCCTTTCCAAAAGAATTTGTATCCAAATCGCAAACTTTTGAGGATGTATTCGAAATCATCCAGTGGTCCTTTAAGCAGCTGGCGACGGGGAGCATGCCAAGCTGCCGACACGATGGCATGCCCTTCAATCGAACCGATAGTTATCGACAACGTTTGGCAGGCAAAAAGCTTCCACTGAGAGCTGCTCTGGCTGAATTTCGAGCTGATTGGAGCTGTTACAAGGACGTTTTGAGCTTCCCTTCTTGGAGTTCGAAGGGGTTTATCTGTTGGCGGTGTATGTGCCCCCGAGCTGATTTGAAAAAATTTGATACTCAGACTTTCGCCAAGCATCTGGGATTGATAGATTCAAAGTTTTATATCTTTTGGCATACCCTAGCATGATACAGTCGACTTAAGGAGTCAATTAACCGGCTCGAAATATCGCCACCAGGAAAGAATTGTCTTTTAATTTCGACGTGTGAGGCATGCTAGACAGTTGAAGTCGATCGCTTATTCCTGGCAGTTGCCTTTGCCTCAGGTACCCTCTCATTTCCAGCATGGACTTCTTCATGCGCCAGAGGCAGCAGAATAAATTGGTGTCGAGATTATTTTCTTGCCCAGGATTCAATACGGCTTGCTGCAAGATGGACTTTTTACACGCTTGCGACCTCGGAGTAACATCCGACTGGCTTGGGTCTTTGCTGTTTTACTTGCAGAATGAGAAGATCCGAGGCCTGAGCAAACTCATCCGATGTGCCAAGCTGTACCAAGACATCAAGGCATACTACGACAGAGCTGGGGTCCAAGATCGATTGCCGAAGCTCCTTCCCACCATGCTTCGTGAAGAGGATCGAGGCAAGATCAAATCCCCCAAGTTGAGAGCCAAAGCAGGGGAAGCTCGAGCACTCGTCGGTGCTGCCATGGAATTGGCTACAAAGTATTTGTCGCCAGCAAAGCCTGCTGAACAGGCGATGTTGCATGGCACAGAAGCTTTGCAGTCCATATATGCCTGTCTCAGCACTGCAGCTTGGGACAAGGAAGTCTTCAGAGTTTCTTCTCAGAAGTTTCTTTTACTCTGGGGCAGCCTCGAGACTTACTTCGAGGTGGACAAGCTCTTCAGGGTTAAACCTAAAGCCCATCAGCTGTTCGAATTGGCCAGGGGCGAGGTGAACCCTAGCAAGACCTGGACCTACAGGGATGAGAGCTATGGGCATACCCTAGCATTGCTGGGCAGACGGCGTGGTGGCAAGTTTTCGATGAATGCTGTTTCTTGTCAAGTTCTCAGACGATTCCTGGCAGCTAATAAAGTTCCTCGAATCGAGATCGGCACGTGATCCTTGGGAGGAAAAAACACGTGCAGTCGATCGTCCGCATGCATGTATATAATTGGGATGCATATACAGAAAATAACATTTCTTAATTAAGCATTGTTTTTGCCATTTACATACCATGCTTAAATAGACACTATAGTGTTTAATCAAGATGATTAAAGATATCTAAAAATTATTTAAGCATCTTTGGAAGCTCTGGGTAGTTTCGCTTGTTTGTAGGGACCGAGTGCTACAGCCGTAGTCGACGAGGCCCAGTCAAGCCAAAAAAGTTTGCTGCTGCGTTTTGTCCATTTTATGGAGAGTGCTGGTTCTTTTTGAACACCATGAGAAAACTAATTACATAGTGTTTGTGCAACATCCAAGTGGTTTTGTTCAATACACCATCCGGTCGTCTCGAGACAGAGTTTGTTGGCTTTAAACTTCAAAGTGACACAAGTTCGTTTTTTCGATTGGAAGCTGCTTTTGTCGTCAGTGCCAGTGCAATTCCAAGTTTTTGGGAACATGTCTGTTGTGACAAAGCTGAAAACGGACATTTGCCAGACTCGGCTCGCAGGCCATCGGAGGGTCCATGCGCGTTTTACATACAGAAATCCCACACTTTGGTCAGAGTCAAAGTTTTGAGCTGAGGAAGTTGTTCATTGCCACCACCATGCGATTTCCGGTTTGCACGTCCGCCTAGACAGTTCATGCGGAATTTGGCCGGACAGTTTGACCGTGCAAGTGGTATTCTTCTCATCGCAAGCGAATGCACGATATGCAAAGCGAAAACATGCACATTCTGATAGAACACTTTCGTTAGATATGTTGTATGTTGGGTTTATTTCAAAGACCTTTGTCAATTTCCTTTTGCCGTGTTCAATGCCTGGCTAACTAGTCCATCCAGCCATCACCAAAGCTGAGATTTACAAGGTCGTCTGTCCAAAGGTTCTGTTCAAAAACGTGCAGCAGCAAGATTTTGTGTCGTTCTGTGATGTTTTGAGGTGAACGGTACGGTTGCGATGGGTTCAAAGCTTTTTGATTGACAAAACTTATCGCCCGAACCGTCTCCAACCCACAGTTATTATCAATGATGGTTCATTTTGAGATCCAGAATCCCCCCAAGGTTGCGGATCTCTTCAATTTGCAAGAGAATGTTTAGACTAGACTTGCCAGCAGTCAGTAGTTTGTCAACGCAGGCCCGTACTGGTGCAGTATCAACGTTGCCAACAAAGCCACGGTTGGGGCACCAACAGAGGATTGCAAGACAGTGGCAGAATGTTGCAGGGTCGCGCGATTTTTGGAAGAGCCGCCAGTCATAAGCAATGAGATTTGCATGTGAATGTCTCAACATCCAAAGCACGTGGCGTGCTGCGAAACTACTTGTCGCTTCTTCGTGTTGCTTCACAGCACGTCTGCTTTGCATGGAAGCCTGCCGAGAACTGATAGATACGGACACGGTTTCTGTGCCAGTCACTAGTCACAACTACAGGCGAAAGCATGCACTCCATCATCGCCGTTTTCGAAAGACGTGATTTCAGGGCCTTGGCTGCCGTTTGGATGCAGCCTTGAAGACGGCATAGGTTGACAGAAGCCGACAGGGGCAATGGCGTCGAAAAGGCCTGGGAGTTCACAACCTCTTGGGCATTCCCTGGCTCGGTGCCAATGTGAGGATGTTGTGTACTCATGTTTGACATCTCTTTTGCCAATGCTTTCGTCATCGGCACTTCACCGCATGTTGCTAACGCCAAGGCTCAGTCTTCTTACAGAGGCTTGCTGTTGCGATGTCAATTTGATGTAAGCCCGACAGAGGCGAGGGATCTTGCAATCAGAGTTGCAACAACAAGGGCCTTCCATGTTCCGCAGGTGTGCCCCAACACTAACATTGACCCTCGCATGTGCAACAACACTTCGGAGTGCGCCCATGGGGATTCACGGCTTGCTGCCTTTCTTGAAGCCATACGTCAAGAAGGTGAATGTCGAAGACTTCAAAGGCAAACCAGTCGGAGTGGATGCCATGTGTTGGATGCACAAAGGAGCCTTTGCTTGCTCCAGGGAGCTCGTAGAAGGTGCTGACACCGACAAGTTTGTGCGCTTTTTCCTGCGCATGTGCGAGGTGCTGCGCTGCTCCCAGATCAAGCCCATAATCGTCTTTGACGGGGACAGATTGCCAGCCAAGGCGAAAGAGGAGGAGAATCGTGGAAAGAATCGTGAGAAGTCCCGTCTTGAAGCTCTTGAACTCTTGGACCGCCAGAGGTCCGGACATGAGGTGGATGAGAAAGAGATCTCTTCCAAGTGTGAGGGTGCCATCAAGGTGACCCCTTCGATGATATCCAGGCTTCAAAGTGCCTTGAAGGAGTTGTCCATTGACTTCATGATCGCACCCTACGAAGCTGATGCTCAGCTAGCTTACATGTGCAGAATGGGTTGGATCGATGTTGCTATTTCTGAAGACAGCGACTTGCTTGCGTATGGCTGCCCTAGCATCTTATTCAAGATGGACAAGTACGGCAATGGTGACCATATCGCACTTCCTTGCCTCCAAGTGGATGCCTCGCCACCTCCTCCCGAACAGAAGCAGCTTAACAAAGAGAACACTCCACCGGATCAGAAACAGCCTAAGGGCGGCAAGCAGAAATGGTTGAAGCCTGGGCACAAGGCCAAGAAGGCGCCGAAAGGAAGGAAGACTACCGACCAAGGTCACGACGCACTGCCTGTGGCTGATGCCGCTGAGAATGAATCCGATGTGGTCGGCCAGCCTTCCAAGGTCAGGCGAGGAGCTAAAGCAAAGAGTGAAAGCGACAAGCTCGCCATCACCAAGGACATTCAGTCTTGCCTCGACCGTTGGTCACCAGAGCAATTCGCCGAGTTTTGCGTTTTCTGTGGTACTGACTACAAGGAGCCAGACACACATATCAAAAAGTTCGGGATCAAAACTGCCTTTCAGTTTATCAGAAGGTATGGGAGCACTCAGGAACTCTTGAAGTGGATGATCAGCGACAAGGCGTTTCAGCAGCGCTTGCCATGCGAAGCAGAAGAGTATATTCCACGGTTTTCCTCCGTGGTTTGCGTATTTTGGCATCACCTGGTATTCAACTTGAGAAGTGGTGAATGTACTTCGATCGCCACGTCGTTTCCTTTGACCGAGTCTCGCAGACGTTGCTTGAACCTGGACCCCACATCAGTTTGTGGTCAGGCTTTCTCCAAGCAAGAGGCAATCCGTGTTGCAAAAGGTGATCTCGACCCACGGACCAGGGCCGTCAAGAAGCTGGAGCCCTTGACTCCAGCAGAGCGTGCTGCAATCGACAGCCTGCTCGAGTTCAAACGTAGGGAGCAGCAAGAGTACCGGCAGCAGTGTGCAGAAGAACAGGCCGAGCTTAGGCGGGCTGAAGCTGAAGCCGCGGCTTTACAGGCCGCAGCACGTGCGCAAGAAGAGGAACCGACAAGCTGTGTTGATGATGCTGCGTCTCAGGAGGCCAGAGCAGAGCCAAGGAAAGAAATCAGGTTATTAGCAGGAGACTTCAAGAAGATCCAGCACTTCGTGGAATCCCTGTCAGATGACGTTGAGGACAACAGCCAGTCGGCTCTTGAACCGGCCCTTGCAGAGGAAACTGAGGGTATGCCGAGGTCAAGTAACCCTTTTTCACGAAAACGCCCTGTGCAAAGCACAAACAGCAGCTTGGGCAAGGCGATTCCTGCATCAAAAGGCCTTCGCCTTCGACCAGTGTGCAGCGTGGCCCCGACAAAGGCTGCGGTGGCTGTCGCTACGCAGGAGGAGGCTATCAAGTTGAAGAAGCCTGAGTACCGTCCCAGGGGCGGTGGTGGAGCTAACGCTGCTGTGGAGGCTGTGTTGGCCCAGAAAGGGATGCCCAGTCTGACGACAGATGACAGAAAGGACAGGTCCAAGCTTGGTTTCTTCTTCGGCCAGGGTTCCAAGGCCGCGGCGGCCACGGCACAGGAGGCTGTGCAAAGCGACGCACCGGCGGGGAAGGTCGACCTCCTCTCGTCCTGGAAGTCTCGGCCATGGGAGACCGAGCCTGAGGAGCTTTCGAACGTTCCTCGGGTCAACGTCCTGTCCATGAGGAACCGACGACTTATGGCCTGCTTCGCAACTGGCCGCTAGCCTAGGACCCAGTCTGAAGGTGTCCGTGCGTTCTTGTACAGCCCACCCCGCCTCCCACCTTCACGATCTGAGTGCGACGGTCGGTTTGCACTTCCATAGTTCTTTATCCGTAAAGGATTCAGTTTGCAACAAACTGAGCTGGGTGCGACAGCATTAAGCTGTTCGGCATGCTGGGGAAAGCATGGGACTCGCGAAAAAGTTCCTGCACTGCTACGGTTGCCGCATGCTTTATCGTGCACTTGGTGACTTAGGTTTTTGGTAAGCTGTTGTGCATTTTATTGTTACTTTCCTGATTGCCCCTGGAAGGCAGATGACCTCATGGTGCCTCCTCTGCATCAGCTTTCAGCCGGAGACTTCTAACATCTTCTAACCATCTTTAAATGAAAGTCGTTTTGTTTCTTCATTGACTGGTCGGTTTTTGCCAAGTTCCTTTTCCAAGTTGCGTGTCTTGGATTCAGGCGATGTCTCTACGTGTTTGTTTGCTTTCTTCCTTTTGTGTTTGCTTCAGGGTTGGGCTTTCAACTGACTCCGTTGGTGCCTGATCCAGGCCAGCGCGCAAGGATTGGGATTGCGCTGCAGTGGTTGACTGGCTACAGGATGAAGGTTTCACAGAGGCGGCATTCATGGTGGAAGCCCTGAACATGGATCTCTCTGCGCTCCTGTGCCCAAGAGAGAAGAGTTTCTGCAATTTTTGTGACTTGTGAGACAGGTGCGGAGCATAAGTACAAGTGCAAGCAATGAGGAATCACCTGAAATTGCATCTTAGGTTGCAGTCTCTGGATATGGAGGGCTACAGGACTGTTCTGCTTCTTGATTGCATGTGTGTGAAGGTTTCCCTTACACTACGCCTAGCTGTCCATAAGATCTTTGCTCTGCATGACCGGGCCCAGGCAGATGTCAAACGCCGATGAACGACAGATGCTGGCGTGGCTTCTGCAGGCCTTGCAAGCCCCCAAGCTATGATTTGTGCCGTGTTGCGGTGGGCTTAAAGACTCGGATGCGGTGATTTCAGACGTGGTCAGGTTTCTGCGTGAAGCATTCCAAGGATTCCCTCCCTATTGCGGCGTCATCTCCCACGCCTTCACGTGACGTGCCAGCTTCCATATCGGGTCCTCCTGTCTTGCACGTGGTGCTGGACAGCCGGAACATTGCCAAGTGCGGCTCCAGTCTGGATCTTCCGCGCCTCCCCAACAAACAGCAGCTGGCTCGAGCCTTCGAGTTCTTCGTGTCGCATCAGCCGCTGGAAACTGTATGGCTCTTTCTTTACCGTGATCTTGCCGAGAAGTGGAGGGCATGTGAACCTCTTGCGAAATACAGTCAGCAGTGGGTCGTCACCCCGACCGGGGAAGATGTGGATGTATTCTTGATCAATTTCGTGGAGACGAGAGAGCAAGAGGGCCATGCGGCGGTCATCGTCTCGAACGACTTGTTTCGAAATCACGTGAGGCAAGGTGTGAGGTTTTAACGACATTCTTCTGAAAGTCAGGTGGATCGTAGAGAGGCCGTTCATATTCTGCCTCAGTCCTGTGGACACGGCAACAATCTTTTCGAAGGTCTTCTCGCATCACGGATGCTTGGGTGCGTCAGCATACCCTCAAGTTTACCTTCACCCAGTCGGGCGACTTCCTGTGTCCGTTGTACACGCCATTGTCTCAGCGTAGGCATAAACCGTCCGCGCATGAGCATGCTCCTTCTTTTGCATCAGCCATCTGACCCTGCCGCTTGAGGCCGGCAGCAAGCAGGGAACCAGGGACGCCTAGCACACAGACAGCCGCTTCTTCCTGCCACACCGTGACTCACCAGCATCGCAAAGAGATTTCAGAAGTAGAAGAAGCCACCGTCTGTCTTTAGCTTGATGTGAGGGGCAAGAAATTCAACAAGCTGCAAAGGTGCGGCCAAGCTCTGGGTGCATGTCGGGCAACCGACGCGGTCGGGTGAAAAACGCATTTGTCACGCAGCTGCACGCAAGTCAAGAATTTTTGGGTTCAAGGACCACTGTGTGTGTGTGCGCGTCACTGCTACGAATAGATGAGATGAAGGCCCAAGTGACCACCTGAGCCGCACACGAGCTGCACGGATGCTTTCGATGTTTAAGGGTGTCTCGGCATCGCAGGTTGCAGTTCTTTGGACACCAACTGTGGACAACGCCACAACCTCTCAGCTCCTTCGGGATGCGTTGGTCCTTGGCTACTCCTTGAAGAAGTTCGGCGGCGACAGTGACCGCGTGCTTCTCGTCACAGAGCAAATTTCGCGCCACGATGCGGCGAACTGCTTGGCAAGATTCTGGAAGCTCCGGGAGATTCAGCCGGTGGAGGTTGCATCCCAGCTTATCAGCGGGTGCAGACCCAGATTTGCAGGAGTCTTCAACAAGCTTCGTGTCCTGGAGCTGGAGGAGTACCGGAAGGCAGGTCGAAAATTCAAGTGCTGTTGTGCTTGATGGTTTACAAATGGGGACTGGAGCATGTGGTCATATGTCGATCTCCTGACATGCCGACATTTTGCTGACATGCCGTGTCAATCATATGCATTTTGGAGGTGATTCTTCTTGACCTCGACCTTTTGATCCGCTCAAACTGCGAAGAGCTTTTCTCTTTCCAGGAAGCTGCGCAAGAGTCCTTGCATGAATTGCCCACTATTTTGATTCTTGATGGGTTGGTCTGACGGAGGCACCTGCTGCTTTGTTTCGCGGCAACAACACCTGGACCTTGGGCGCCCCAAGAAGAGCGAAACTTGACCTGACTCAGTGTTGTGTTTCGAGACGAACACTCCCGAATATCGTTTCAGCTGCATGTTCGGCACTGAGCTTTTGTCTCCGAACCTCAGGGAGTCCTTCTTTGATCGCAATTCGGGCTTGCAGAAGGGCGGCATCAACGCCGGAGTGGTGATCTTGGAACCGAGCATTGCGACATTCCGCAAGATGCAGGAGCTTCGGCTAGAGAAGTTGCTGGGCACTGAGCTGGGGTCCGGGTGACTGGGTTTGGTGACAGGAGAAACTTCGAGAACCAGGCCACGACGCAGAAAACCCAAGCACCATGCCGGAGCAGGACTTCCTTACCCTATGGTTTGCAAAGCAGTGGAGGCTCGCTCATGTTCCCTCCTGTCCATTTGTAATATTTGTACGTGTCGTCTGAAGTTTGAACTCGTTTAGGCGTTCGGGTCATTCCGACAGGCCCTTGCCTGTGAAGTACAACTATCAGCTCCACCAGCTTGCCTTCTTACCAAGAGACCAAGCTGCAATGCGTTCAAGTGTCAGTTTTTGACACCCGAAACATGGGTCATGATACTACAACCATCCCTTCTGCACTGCACCTGACTAGCTGGCTTGTTGAGGAGACGGCGAAGACAACCCACGTGGACGATTAGATGCGAATGATGTGATCATCTGGCATTTCTCAGCTGAACACAAGCCCAGCCATTTCGTCGATGGCAGCAACACAAGCTGGTTGGAGGACCCCTCTGTCTGGCGACAGCCTCGGTTCTGAGCTTGTCTACATCGCCAGCTCTGAGGAGTATCCCGCAATGGTGCTGCCCATGGGTTGTGAGAGCTTTCGTGACATCGTCAAGCAGGCAGCTTCCGAATGGCACTTTGCGTGGCAGGAGTCATGTGCCGGGTCGAGAGAGTGCAACTGAGAAGCTGCAGACGTTGTACTGGTTGATGCACCTCTGTGTCGGTGAGTCTGGTGGCAGGAGGTTGGTCAGATGCTCGGCATGAACTCGCTGTCTGCCTTATCCCCGAACTGCAAGGCTGGGGTGTCGTCGAAACTTTCGATCTTGTAAGTCTCAAGTGCTGGTAGGTCGATGGTTGCACACCTGCACGGCCGGGTGTGTCAAAAACTCGAGAAGATGCAGCCCATAACTTGGTTGGCAGCAACCCTCAGGAGGCACGGCGCACTGAGATGTGTAGTGTTGAACAGCCACTGTGCCAATCAGTGAGGAACAACTTGATGAGTTGGATGCCATCCGAAAGATTCGCGCTGATCGCTACAGCCGGCACCAAGCGGTAGTGAACATTCCCACGCATCTTGTCGTCGACATTTTGCTCCGCACTGCTCCCTACATAATGTGACAGATCAGTCGAGCTGCTTGCCGAAGTCGAGGTAGGACCTTTTCAAGCTGTTCTCCTGAGGCCATTGAAGACAAGCTCGGTGGGTCCATCGCTTGAGCTCAGCAACCCCGGCGAAGCAACCGCTGTCCGAACGCCTCCCTCGGCTACACGAGCTCACTCAAGCTCGGCGCAGCCGGCGGATGCCGCAGAGAAGGAGGACGCGTGTCATGGACTTCAGTGCTGGCCCACCGAAGCTCTGCAGGCTTGTCTTGAGGAGCATGGCTTGGAATGCCCAGACGGCCTCCTGGATCGTGCCGTGCTCTGTGAGCTTGTCGGGAGCTTGATCGAAAGAGGAGAACTGAAGGACGTCGGTGCGGCAAGGCCAATGCACACAACGAAGAATCAGAGGCCTCGAGCTTCACGCGACAGTTGGCGAGCCCCTCCTCGAGATAGTCATGCCTGGACAATGGTGGATGATGCAGCCGGGGAGGTCCTTCGCTGTATCGCTGAGCATACGGTGACCCTCCTCGTAGCCCCGACAGGCGGCCTGAAATCATGCACTGCTGGCGGTTTTGCTGCTCATCCTCTCGCTCATTTTTTGATGTTGAGATTGTACTGCTCCAGCAGGTTCAGGCAAGTCCACCGGGGTGCCCCGGCTGCTGCTTGAAAATGAAGACTGTCACCGTGTCTTATGTCAGTAGCTTACCGGACCAGCACCAGTCGCACCACTCTTGCTCTTGGGGCAGTCTGGATCGATACCAGAGAGTGAGAGAAGACCGATTTTTTTCAGGCACGCAGCCCCGGAGGGTTGCCACCGCGAGCCTGGCGAAGCTGCTAGCCGACTACACGGCCTCCGAGGCCTTCGGAAGAGAGCCCACAAAGAGAAGACGAGCCATCTGGAGCCGTGCAGAGGTCGGTGAGCTCGTGGGCTTTCAGGTCGGAGGGCACCGCGAATGGAGCGAGCAGAGGGCTCCTCAGAGCCTTCCGACAGTCCCAGAGCGGTGGCTTAGCATCGAATGCCTGTTAAGGACGCAGCTGGTTTACGTGACGACGGCCATTGCGATGCTGATGTGCCTGCAAGGTGGCATTCCGGCGACGCACATCATAGTAGATGAAGTGCATGTCCGTCACTCGGCCTGCGCTGTGTTCAGCCGTGTGGCAAGAATACCACAGCTTTTAATTTGGGACTAGGCAGACTGCGCTTGTCCACTTCTCTTCTCTGTTTTCTCAAGTGCCCAGGAGATGTGCACATCGACGCCCTGCTGAATATCTTGAAGGGCGATGTGTTGCCTCAAGACGCCACCAAGAAGGCCCCTGATTAACTGGTGTGACTTGTCCTCCTTGCAGCGTTGCTGTCGTGACGAGGATGCTCGATATATTCGAGCAACTCCGTGTGCTTGTGCGTAGTTAGTTATGTTGCCGGGATCATTCACTCTCTGCGGCACGTACCGCACGATCACTGGTTGCTGTGGAAAATGTTAACACCATGTCTACTTGCTTCAACAAGTCTGATCTGGCATGATCAGGCTGCACTGTTTCAGTCGTTCTTCAATTACGACGTGTTCTAGATTCCCCGATCTGACATCCTGCTTGCTTGCTCTGTGTTTCCTTTTGGTGGGTTAATTGTTGCCTGGAGTGCAGGTCATACTGATGTCGGCGGCGACCGATGTGCCATTTCTCCAGCATTATTTCCAGAATTTCTCGCTTGGCTTCGTCGATTTGGAAAGGGGGCGAAAGCATCGACTGACGCTTTCCTATGCAGATGGATCCTTCCTGCGCAGTCTGACCCCGGCAGGATCCTGAGAAGCCGTAGAAGCTCTGTGCAACTGACGTAGACGGGGTGCATGGAGCAGTAATGAGTTTCCGACAGCATCAAACCTGTCGAGGACATGTGTCCGGAGAAAATGGCTGAAGCGCTCGAACTAGTCGTTCAGCAGCATCACGTGCTACGAGACTTACAGCAATCTTTTTTGGAAGCGGCCTCAGCATTGAGGGGTGCAGCAGTACCGGTGGGCTTTGAATGTTCCGGTGGGCTTTGAATGTTCTGTCCCCACCTCCAGCTTTACCTACGTGCTGCTGCTTGCTATCACACTCATGTTCCAGGTTTTCCTTCCTGGTCGCCAAGAGGTGCACGCACTAGCAGATCGTCTCACGGCTGTGACAAACATGGAGGTCCAACGGCTCTTTGGCGGCCAGGCCACAAGATAAAGACTGTCATCACAAATCGTGTCGGAGGATACTTGCCGTTCTTTGATCATGCAGATGCTTGGAGGCACTGCACTTGCAGCAACGCGCTCTTCGTTTTCGGGCGAACGGATCCAAGCGCTTGGTCATCCTTGCGACGGATGTTGTGGAGCAGCGGCCTGAGAGGGCTTCGAGCCGTGAGACGACGGGACTCTTGCCTCTCAGATTCCTGATGCTCAATGCAGGTCGTCAGTGACAATGCCAACGGTGGACTTGGTCATCGACACCTGCCTTCACAGACGGCGGCGCTGGCATCCTTTGCTGAAGGAGAGCCCACTGACCCTCGAACTCATCAGCCAGGATGAGGCAGCTTAGACGCAGAGCTAAGCGGGCAGCATTGCCTCAATCTGCCGGTGTTGTGAGGCTCTGCAGCGAAGTGGCCGCACGGCGAGGCTCCGTGACGGCCATGCATTCCGATGCATTACGGAGATGGAGTTCGGGCGGCTTCAGCAGCATGCAGAGCCCGACATTCGCCATCATCCACTAGACAGCTTGGTTCTGACGGTCTACGGCTTTCGGGGCCTGTCCAGAGCTCCGGAGGACCGCCCCAGTCACCAGGCTTCGTGCAGTTCTGCAATTGTGCAGCCTGTGCAGCGCCAGCCGCCAGCTTTGCAGAGGATTTTCTGGCCGCCATGCCCAGCCCTCCTGATCCTGGCAGAGTCAAGTCCTCCATTTCTCGCCTTGAAGAGTTGGGCGCGCTGGGATCAGATGGAAGGCGGCTGCTAACTTGGCAGAAGGGCAAGGGCGGCAAGGGGTGCTTGGTGCAGGCTGACTGCTGTCGGGCGACTTCTCGACCAGCTGCCCCTGGATTCGGGCTGCAGCATGCCTTTTGGAGTAATCAGGAGACCGCCTCAACCTTTCCTGGCAAGTTTTGTGATTCTTTTGTGCTGAGGCTGGTCATCAACGGCCTGCGGTATGACGTGGTTGCGGACTGCTGCGTTATGGCAGCCATTCTGCAGCAGGGCAGCCCATTCGAGGCTTCGGAGCATGTTCTTCGGAACTTCATGGAGCGGCGAAAGACGTGTTTTGGCCCTTGTCCAGGCTCCCACCCTGGATGATGGCACTTGGAATATGCAGCGGGCTTTGCAGTACTGGGAAGTCCGAAATGTTTGTGCTACTTGGCTCAGGCCCAGACAGTGACATCGGCCCGCAGGCACTCCCAGTCCTAGGTCCTAGGTTTTTAATCAAACTGAAAGACATCGATGACATCTGATATCGCTGCTAGTCCGCTCGTTCGACTTGTCACAGGTTTATCTCCTGATTCTGAATACTTGAATCGAAGCCATATTGACTGCCGCGTTTAAGGCTGACAGCGATGGATATCCTTCCGACTTGCTTCAAGATCTAAGGGGCTACCATGCTTGGTGCAGGCAGGGTCGGTCACGGAAGCGGAGTTGTTTGTGAAAGTCCAGTGCAGGCGAGTTGGACCGCTTTGTATTATGTTGTTGCTACACTGCCACCTGTTTTCATGATTGATTCGGCTTGGTCAGCCGCTAGTGGAAGATTTCTTGTCATAATGATCCTCCCAACTGCAGACCGCCTGGAAGAATAGCTCACCTGCTTAGATGTGGGCGTGGTCCGGAATGGTGGCTCAGACTTTCGCTGCGAAGGCAAGTGCAGAGCGCCGGCGAGGCTTGGGCTATTGATCAAGGCCCTCAGTGGTGCTTGCACCACTTTCTTAGCTTTGAACGCCTTCAGTCCATCGACGAGGCCGCCTGATTGCCGCAGCTTGCACTTGCACTCATGACCATGCATCTGCATTGGGTGTGCTCAGAACGAGCTGCGGTGGGATCGCAGGTGAAGCGACAGATTCTTGTCATTCTGCACCAGCACGGTTATGAGGCGCGGATTTCAGCTAGGAGGGGCAAGCAAGTTCCCATGTCGAAGACGGCCTGTAGTTGTAGGTTCCGGCGATGCAGAGCTTGCCGATGCAGCGCAACCAACGAAAGCGCATCGACAGAATTGCTGCCTGCGTTCCGGAGTTTGCAGGCCGGTTCTGTGTTGCACATTGTTGCGCACTGGAGCTTCTGCTTTCCGAGAGGTCATTGAGTCTGATGCACATATCTGAATGCAGGCGAGCCTTGTAGAGACTTCAAGGCACTCCTCAGTTGGGAGAACCAGGATGCAAGCCACCGTCGCTTGCTGCAGTGGTGATTCTCGGCCGCACATCTGCTCTGGAGGCTTATCACGACAGCCTCTTCCTGTTTCTTTTTGTTTTGTGTGGGCAGCTAGCCTTGGACTCGACATGAGCCAAGGCATCGCTGCTTCCTTCATTCATGGGATGCTGTCGATGCAGAGCTCTGCATGCACGGAGCAGGTGCTCATGCAACGGTCGAAACTGACCTTGACCTCGCTTCTGGTCGACAGGTTTGTTTCATTGCTCGGCGGAACAAGAAGGACTCAGCATTGTACATGTCTTTCCATTGCTGTGCAGTTGCATCATGTATTCCTCGCGATTCGTGAGAAGGAACAAGTCGGCCCGTTTCTTGCCCAACACGGATTCCAAATTGAGGATGTTACGAACCTCGACTGCTTTGCCGTGGGTGAAGCTCTGCTGTACACAAGCGATTGGGGACATAGTCACCGAATGAAAAATCCAAGGACGGACGACAGGAGTAGCAAGGTCACAATCACCTTTGGGTTGCTTGGCGAATGCAAGGGTATAGCACCGAGGGTACGCTCGAGCAAAGAGGCAGCACGAATGTGAAAAATCATGTGAGTCATGATCTAAAGGGGAGCAGACGCACTTGCTGTCCTCGCCATCTGATGTTCTGATGTTCATCCCTCCGCCTGTTTCATCATATGAGTGGTTCCGGCAGAAGTTGTTCCCTGCTAAATCTCACACCGACAACATGGGGGTGGAATCCATTGGTCGCACATCGGGGATGTCTGCAGAAATCTCAAACCGACTTGAGCAGATCTTGAGGCAAGAGTTCCGTTTTCAAAGGCCTCCCGAACCAGATCCGCCTAGCTGCCTGCAGCAAGCATAGCTCCTTACAGTTGGCTTTTCGTATGGACGCTTTGAGACGTATTGTGCCGACTGGTGATCTTCGACATGGCAACATGGTAGACACACAGCATAGCTGTGGCATAGCTACGACCTGACGAACACAGTTGCACTGTTGCGGTTTGCTTTGCTCTCCTGCGTGTCTTCAATGAAGGTCACGGGCGGAAGCGTGTCGAGCTTGTCAAGTTGTTGCGGCGGGCACGAACAGCACCTTCCCCTTCAGGCATTTTGGGCAGACATGTCAGTAGCTATTACGCTTGGGACTGTTCTGCCGCCCAGAGCAAGCGATCAGAGGAGTGCAGAGCCGCGAAGCTGGGGCAGACAGAGGCGGCAGCAGGCACGCGGTGTCAATGGGCTGAATGTATCTGTAGAGCCTCCGTCGCTTGGTGTCTTTTGCTCTCAGGTGCAGCTCCGGGGCAGCAGTTCTGTTTGCAAGTTGAAGGCCGAGTCTTTGGTTGAGCCGCAGGTGGGCCCTGGGCCTCAGCCCTGCTTGCCATGGCATGGCGGCATGAGCAGGGTCGGACTGGATGCAGGTGCGAGAGGACTGCGAGATTATCACAGCCGATGCGCTGCCCGTGAAAACAGGCAGAGGCCGCTTTGCCTTCTTAAACTTGTTTGCGCTGAATCTTTGGGCAGCAATTGGCAGATTTCGCCTGAGGTTTCATGTATTTATGTTCCAAGAATACCATGGTTCCATCTGGGCTGCTGCCGTTGGTGGTGCTGGCAACCTACTGCAAGCAGGAGGCCGCAGAAGTTTGCACGTCCGCTTGGCTGGGCCGGTTTCTCGTGGACGGGATTTGCCTGGAAAGGCCCAGCAGAGCTCAGCATCGGAGTTCAAGCTGAAGGTCCGCTTCCATGGGAGCTGGGAGGAATTCAGTTTGCAAGCTCATGATCTGCGGGCCCATTTCTCAGAGCTCGGCGGAAAGCCCGGCTGGTGAATTTTCACATTCCTAACAGTAGAGCATGTGGCCGAGGTGTTCAGCGTAATTGAAGAAGTTCGGAACAACATGGACAAGGCCACCGGCACATGTATGCCGTTCCGAGCCTTGATGCCCGTCCAGCTGCAGTGCAGCCCAGGAGTTTGGACCACACATCTCCCTGACTCGACGCAAGCAGATTACTGTAGAGCGGGCTGCCAGGATCTTAATTGCATACCTTCGGTGAAAGCGCATTGGACCTGTGTGATTAGCCCAAACATCCCGGCGGTGGCTGAACGTTGAGGCATCTGTTCGGCGTCTGATGGACCAATTGCATGGTGGAGAACCTCCAGTGCGAAGTATGGTTAGGCCAAGCGAGGATTTTGTGACGAGTTTGTTGCCCTCTTTAAGTTCTCTTGGGCTGCAATTTTGATGCAATGCCAGAAACATGGGCATTGGTAGGGGCAAGAGAATCGCAGGAGTAGGCCGTGGCGGCAGCATCTTTGTGAATTCGGTCTGGGAGATGTCGCCGGCATTTGTCGAAAAATTCTGGGTTGCTGCTGTCTCTCTGTGTGCGTGATTAGCTACCGGACTCGTGAGCTGCTGAGTCTGTGAATGTCTTGCGCATACAGCGATCAGCATAAGCATCGGTCCAATGCTATCGCGAAGCAGTTGAGCAGGCTTCAAGAGAGCCGTACCTTTGTCAGTCCTGCTTTGTGTCGCGATGTCGCCGGCACGTGTCCGGCAGGAATGTGTAACACAACATATTAGCTCACGGTAGTACGCTTGCGCAGTGGTCCGCACAGTCTCGCGACCACAAAAGCTTGATGCTAAGGTTGCTACAGGGTGAAACACATAATACATAGTAAGCGCTGCCATCACGGAGCAGCTGATTGGGAGGGACTCGGATACGGAGCGTGTAGGCGATTAAGTGCGAGAGGATGGGGATTGCCAGAATGCTGCTTGTGGTCACCTCCAAGCTAGCTACCCAAGGATTCCCGCAAAGCTCCCAAAACTCATGAGCCAAGCGCAGTGATCCTCGAATCACTTAGAAGATTTATGCAACTAAGCCATCTTTTTTGCCAGAGGGCGGCAAAGTGTGCCTCTTCCTCTGCAGTGCTCAGGGTGGGCAGTAAGCTGAGAGGCTGCATTGTGGTCCAGAGGATGGGCGTTGTTATTGGTTGCTGCGGCGAACCCTTTTGAAGGGTTGACATGCATTGAAACAGGGCAATTGACATGTCGTGCTTGACGAAACAGTGTCCATTGTGCGACAGAACACGCAATCAGTCAAGTACGACTTGTTGCATCGGTTTGGAGCCTGTCGTTTGCATGATGGTGCATCATGGTTTTGGCTCGAATGGGTGCAGTAGTTACTGTACAATGTTTGAAGGCCACCGAAACCATTCTACGAGATGGCGTGCCCAGTAGAGTTCTGTAGCACAGAAAACCAACGAGTCGACAACGACGAGAGTGGTTGCAATGCGTGCCTTAAACATACCGAGCAAGGTTCATGTTTGTTGATCATATCTAGTCTCTGCACTTGGAACTGACGTGGCCATAGCCCATCAGCTGAATTCGCAAGACGCTGCTGCCGTTAGACAGCGGCGGCAGCAGGCACGCGGTCTCAATGGGTGAACCCCCTCCGAGGTCATCCTCGTGTTGTCCAATGCCGGCCTTCTGCCACCCCTAAAGGTCGGACCGGTGTTCCATGATGTTCCATGCGTGACAGTTCTTTTAATCCTTGGGGGCTGTCGCGATGGCCGTACCTCCTGCGGCCTCGGACCTGAAAGCGGCGCTGAAGCTCAGAACGGCCGGCAGCCCAGCTTTTGAGCTCCACTTGCCCATCAGCATAACGGTGCTGGCTGTTGTGTCTTTATGCATTGGCCGACTTTGGCGTCTTGGCTTGAAAGAGTACTTCTTCGCTTCCCACGCGTCCTTCGCAACTATCCTTGCCATGTCGTTTCTTCAATCCATTCTGGCTCTCGCCATTTTTCTGCGCATGCTGAACGGAGCCCTCGGCGCGCGTGTGGATGGCGTGAGGGCTCATCTCGATCGCCTGCGTCCCAGGGGGGGCCATGTCGAGGACCCCTTTGGCGACCCCTTTGGCGACATGCTGCCCCCTATGCAAGGCAATCCCCTGGTGGCCGCCGCGTCGCGCAATCAGGTCCAGGAAATCCAGCCTCTGGGACAGTCTCCAGCTCCCACCTCGCCTGAAGTGATGATGCAAGAGGAGCGCATCTTGGCTTCTGAGTCTCTGGTGGATGAGCAAGTGGAGTTGAACCAGGAAGAGCGGATGGAGGTGCAGTGCGTGGGCATGGAGCATCTGCGTGAGGTTACGACCTACGAGAACGAGCAAGCGGAGGCGGCCAATGAGATCAAGAACATTCGCAGCTTCCAGCCCACGGAAGCCGAACACAAGTGCCTGCCCTTGCACCTGCGCAACAAGAAGTTGCCAGGCAGATTCTTCAAAGATCATCCATCATGGGCAAACCCGCCCCCGTTTCCAGAGCGTCTTGGGGAGATCGTGGTGGAAGGCGTCCATCACACCGACAGGACGCCCACTGGGCACCATGTGGTCCTGGAGCTCGTGGGCTGTACCAGCTGTGAGAACGACAAGACGAAGACGGTGGAATGGGGCGGCTTGCTGGCCATCGACGAGTCCGGCAGCTACCGCAAGATGTATCGCAAGTCAGGTTCTTTTGGTGGGACCGACAATTTTGGCGGCACTCATTACCGCATGGGTGACCGGGTGCCCATCGTAGAAGCCCCTGACCGTTACAAGAGTGGACGGACTTATCCACGTCAGTGGAGCACGAACGGGGTGCCCACAGAGGATCAGAAGTATGTCAAGACCAACAAGTATAAGTACAGCTCCTTCACGTTTGACTCCTCCATTCTGCCGGACGTTCGCCAGATGGCGGGGGAGGCAGTGGCCAGCAACGCCAATGTGGACGCGAAGTTCGTGCATGAACATGAGGCAGAGGAGCTGAAAGTGTTAAAGGAGCTCAGAGAACAAGAGAAGCGCATTCCTTTCAACCACAAGCTGGAGCAAATGCACATGCACATCTACATCTGTGAGGAGCAGGGAAGCGGTCTGATTTGTCCAGAGAAGCCTGCTGAAACTCTCATCGTTCATGACGGTGCTTTGGCGTTCGACAGTGCCAAGACTGCCACCTTTGATGAGCTTGGTAAGCACTCAGCGACTTGCACCTATGGGGAATGTATGAAATCGCCCAGGGGTGTCCAGTTGAAGGACAAAGTGCTTCCGTGGACGATGTGCACAGGATGCACCACCGATCGTCCCTGTGGTACGCACAGCCGTGCAATTCCGCACAAGTCCTTGGAGCTGCAGAACTATTTCAACTGCCTGGTCGAACGTGCCTACACCCAAGATGGTTTTGTGGACTTCCTCCAGCAGCAGGAGGGCACCCTCGATCCCAAGGCCTGGGGTGGAGTTTAAAATCTGGACGATGCAGGACCAAGATTGCTAGCCTTTTTTTTGGGTTCTTTTGTAACTCAGCCAAGGCCCGCATTGGCTCTGGCTTCATCTTCCGAGGAGCGGAGTCCAAGGGCCACGTGACAGGCCACATCAACTGGCACCTCTCCGTCCCACGAGGTGGCCACTGCGAGCCCTTCATGCAGGACGTGGCCTATGTGGGCATTGGTGTGGATGAGTGCGACAAATGTCCAGGTGGCGAGGTGGATGTAGACATTGGCATGGTGCTCCTCAGTTGCAGCCGTGCAGGCACGAAGGCCCTGGGCGGTGCCGGGAAATGCAGATACGTGGACCACATGAATTTCGCCCACAAGTCCACTCACAACAGCTACGGAATCTCAGAAGATGATCGCTCAGGCGAGGGCGAAGGGGATGACGAGTGGGCCTTCCTAAATCTTGCGGGCTTGAGGACTCGGGGAGTGACGCATGCCTTGGTGGTCGCCAACATCTACGGCTGCGCCAGAGGACGTCCCAGCACTCCTATCGGATGGCAGGATCTGGAAGGCGCCTTCCTGCGCGTAGCGGGCTCCTCCGCACACAGCAAGGCCTTTTCCAATGCGGAGACCATCGGCTACATTGACTTAGATGGGATGACCGGACCTGCCAAGAACGGAGCAGGACTTGTCATGTTCTACCTCTCGGAAGATGGTTCTCTGGCAAAGCCCAGTGAAATGGTCCGCACGGATGATGCCGCACACAGCGGAAGCCACTGGAAGATGGCGGTGGTGAAGAAGCCATATGAGGGACACGTTCTGGATTCCCAAAATGCCCTGGCATCCTTCGGCTTGCAGGTGCTGTCGACGCCAGAGGCTAGCCTCCCGGAGCAGGTCTCCGAAATGAGTCTCCCTACTGCGCTTGGCACGGAACAGGACACCGGAACAAACACCGCTGAACTGCAGCCTGTGCTCCTGGATGGCATGTCTGCGGCCAACGACATGCACTTCTCCGATGAGACAGCCCAGGAGCGACATGCCAAGGAGATGCCTCCACAAGAGTTGTGGAACAACTTGGCAGCCACGCTGCCTGAAGGCCCCCCTGGCACTGACTCCTTTTGCGCACCGGCTTTGGCAAGTAAATAGGCCCCAACTCTTCCCAGCGCGGAAGACAGCCGGCCACTCGTCAAGAGGCAGAAGAAAGACCGGCGTCAAGCAAAGGGCATGTGCAGAGCTGTGCAGAGCTGTGCTGAGCTGCGCTGAGCTTTGCTGAGCTGCCTCATTTGCAAACGCTTGCAAGCCTGCAGGCTCACCGGAGCAAGGCCTCCCAAAATTGGATTCGAGGTGTTTTAGCGACAGGGGTGTGTATCTCGGGGTGTGGAGGCAGCGGGATGTCGATGCCGAAGCACTTCTGCTGAGCCTGTCTGTAGAGCCTCCGTCGCTTGGTGTCTTTTGCTCTCAGGTGCAGCTCCGGGGCAGCAGTTCTGTTTGCAAGTTGAAGGCCGAGTCTTTGGTTGAGCCGCAGGTGGGCCCTGGGCCTCAGCCCTGCTTGCCATGGCATGGCGGCATGAGCAGGGTCGGACTGGATGCAGGTGCGAGAGGACTGCGAGGTTATCACAGCCGATGCGCTGCCCGTGAAAACAGGCAGAGGCCGCTTTGCCTTCTTAAACTTGTTTGCGCTGAATCTTTGGGCAGCAATTGGCAGATTTCGCCTGAGGTTTCATGTATTTATGTTCCAAGAATACCATGGTTCCATCTGGGCTGCTGCCGTTGGTGGTGCTGGCAACCTACTGCAAGCAGGAGGCCGCAGAAGTTTGCACGTCCGCTTGGCTGGGCCGGTTTCTCGTGGACGGGATTTGCCTGGAAAGGCCCAGCAGAGCTCAGCATCGGAGTTCAAGCTGAAGGTCCGCTTCCATGGGAGCTGGGAGGAATTCAGTTTGCAAGCTCATGATCTGCGGGCCCATTTCTCAGAGCTCGGCGGAAAGCCCGGCTGGTGAATTTTCACATTCCTAACAGTAGAGCATGTGGCCGAGGTGTTCAGCGTAATTGAAGAAGTTCGGAACAACATGGACAAGGCCACCGGCACATGTATGCCGTTCCGAGCCTTGATGCCCGTCCAGCTGCAGTGCAGCCCAGGAGTTTGGACCACACATCTCCCTGACTCGACGCAAGCAGATTACTGTAGAGCGGGCTGCCAGGATCTTAATTGCATACCTTCGGTGAAAGCGCATTGGACCTGTGTGATTAGCCCAAACATCCCGGCGGTGGCTGAACGTTGAGGCATCTGTTCGGCGTCTGATGGACCAATTGCATGGTGGAGAACCTCCAGTGCGAAGTATGGTTAGGCCAAGCGAGGATTTTGTGACGAGTTTGTTGCCCTCTTTAAGTTCTCTTGGGCTGCAATTTTGATGCAATGCCAGAAACATGGGCATTGGTAGGGGCAAGAGAATCGCAGGAGTAGGCCGTGGCGGCAGCATCTTTGTGAATTCGGTCTGGGAGATGTCGCCGGCATTTGTCGAAAAATTCTGGGTTGCTGCTGTCTCTCTGTGTGCGTGATTAGCTACCGGACTCGTGAGCTGCTGAGTCTGTGAATGTCTTGCGCATACAGCGATCAGCATAAGCATCGGTCCAATGCTATCGCGAAGCAGTTGAGCAGGCTTCAAGAGAGCCGTACCTTTGTCAGTCCTGCTTTGTGTCGCGATGTCGCCGGCACGTGTCCGGCAGGAATGTGTAACACAACATATTAGCTCACGGTAGTACGCTTGCGCAGTGGTCCGCACAGTCTCGCGACCACAAAAGCTTGATGCTAAGGTTGCTACAGGGTGAAACACATAATACATAGTAAGCGCTGCCATCACGGAGCAGCTGATTGGGAGGGACTCGGATGCGGAGCGTGTAGGCGATTAAGTGCGAGAGGATGGGGATTGCCAGAATGCTGCTTGTGGTCACCTCCAAGCTAGCTACCCAAGGATTCCCGCAAAGCTCCCAAAACTCATGAGCCAAGCGCAGTGATCCTCGAATCACCTAGAAGATTTATGCAACTAAGCCATCTTTTTTGCCAGAGGGCGGCAAAGTGTGCCTCTTCCTCTGCAGTGCTCAGGGTGGGCAGTAAGCTGAGAGGCTGCATTGTGGTCCAGAGGATGGGCGTTGTTATTGGTTGCTGCGGCGAATCCTTTTGAAGGGTTGACATGCATTGAAACAGGGCAATTGACATGTCGTGCTTGACGAAACAGTGTCCATTGTGCGACAGAACACGCAATCAGTCAACTACGACTTGTTGCATCGGTTTGGAGCCTGTCGTTTGCATGATGGTGCATCATGGTTTTGGCTCGAATGGGTGCAGTAGTTACTGTACAATGTTTGAAGGCCACCGAAACCATTCTACGAGATGGCGTGCCCAGTAGAGTTCTCTAGCACAGAAAACCAACGAGTCGACAACGACGAGAGTGGTTGCAATGCGTGCCTTAAACATACCGAGCAAGGTTCATGTTTGTTGATCATATCTAGTCTCTGCACTTGGAACTGACGTGGCCATAGCCCATCAGCTGAATTCGCAAGACGCTGCTGCCGTTAGACAGCGGCGGCAGCAGGCACGCGGTCTCAATGGGTGAACCCCCTCCGAGGTCATCCTCGTGTTGTCCAATGCCGGCCTTCTGCCACCCCTAAAGGTCGGACCGGTGTTCCATGATGTTCCATGCGTGACAGTTCTTTTAATCCTTGGGGGCTGTCGCGATGGCCGTACCTCCTGCGGCCTCGGACCTGAAAGCGGCGCTGAAGCTCAGAACGGCCGGCAGCCCAGCTTTTGAGCTCCACTTGCCCATCAGCATAACGGTGCTGGCTGTTGTGTCTTTATGCATTGGCCGACTTTGGCGTCTTGGCTTGAAAGAGTACTTCTTCGCTTCCCACGCGTCCTTCGCAACTATCCTTGCCATGTCGTTTCTTCAATCCATTCTGGCTCTCGCCATTTTTCTGCGCATGCTGAACGGAGCCCTCGGCGCGCGTGTGGATGGCGTGAGGGCTCATCTCGATCGCCTGCGTCCCAGGGGGGGCCATGTCGAGGACCCCTTTGGCGACCCCTTTGGCGACATGCTGCCCCCTATGCAAGGCAATCCCCTGGTGGCCGCCGCGTCGCGCAATCAGGTCCAGGAAATCCAGTCTCTGGGACAGTCTCCAGCTCCCACCTCGCCTGAAGTGATGATGCAAGAGGAGCGCATCTTGGCTTCTGAGTCTCTGGTGGATGAGCAAGTGGAGTTGAACCAGGAAGAGCGGATGGAGGTGCAGTGCGTGGGCATGGAGCATCTGCGTGAGGTTACGACCTACGAGAACGAGCAAGCGGAGGCGGCCAATGAGATCAAGAACATTCGCAGCTTCCAGCCCACGGAAGCCGAACACAAGTGCCTGCCCTTGCACCTGCGCAACAAGAAGTTGCCAGGCAGATTCTTCAAAGATCATCCATCATGGGCAAACCCGCCCCCGTTTCCAGAGCGTCTTGGGGAGATCGTGGTGGAAGGCGTCCATCACACCGACAGGACGCCCACTGGGCACCATGTGGTCCTGGAGCTCGTGGGCTGTACCAGCTGTGAGAACGACAAGACGAAGACGGTGGAATGGGGCGGCTTGCTGGCCATCGACGAGTCCGGCAGCTACCGCAAGATGTATCGCAAGTCAGGTTCTTTTGGTGGGACCGACAATTTTGGCGGCACTCATTACCGCATGGGTGACCGGGTGCCCATCGTAGAAGCCCCTGACCGTTACAAGAGTGGACGGACTTATCCACGTCAGTGGAGCACGAACGGGGTGCCCACAGAGGATCAGAAGTATGTCAAGACCAACAAGTATAAGTACAGCTCCTTCACGTTTGACTCCTCCATTCTGCCGGACGTTCGCCAGATGGCGGGGGAGGCAGTGGCCAGCAACGCCAATGTGGACGCGAAGTTCGTGCATGAACATGAGGCAGAGGAGCTGAAAGTGTTAAAGGAGCTCAGAGAACAAGAGAAGCGCATTCCTTTCAACCACAAGCTGGAGCAAATGCACATGCACATCTACATCTGTGAGGAGCAGGGAAGCGGTCTGATTTGTCCAGAGAAGCCTGCTGAAACTCTCATCGTTCATGACGGTGCTTTGGCGTTCGACAGTGCCAAGACTGCCACCTTTGATGAGCTTGGTAAGCACTCAGCGACTTGCACCTATGGGGAATGTATGAAATCGCCCAGGGGTGTCCAGTTGAAGGACAAAGTGCTTCCGTGGACGATGTGCACAGGATGCACCACCGATCGTCCCTGTGGTACGCACAGCCGTGCAATTCCGCACAAGTCCTTGGAGCTGCAGAACTATTTCAACTGCCTGGTCGAACGTGCCTACACCCAAGATGGTTTTGTGGACTTCCTCCAGCAGCAGGAGGGCACCCTCGATCCCAAGGCCTGGGGTGGAGTTTAAAATCTGGACGATGCAGGACCAAGATTGCTAGCCTTTTTTTTGGGTTCTTTTGTAACTCAGCCAAGGCCCGCATTGGCTCTGGCTTCATCTTCCGAGGAGCGGAGTCCAAGGGCCACGTGACAGGCCACATCAACTGGCACCTCTCCGTCCCACGAGGTGGCCACTGCGAGCCCTTCATGCAGGACGTGGCCTATGTGGGCATTGGTGTGGATGAGTGCGACAAATGTCCAGGTGGCGAGGTGGATGTAGACATTGGCATGGTGCTCCTCAGTTGCAGCCGTGCAGGCACGAAGGCCCTGGGCGGTGCCGGGAAATGCAGATACGTGGACCACATGAATTTCGCCCACAAGTCCACTCACAACAGCTACGGAATCTCAGAAGATGATCGCTCAGGCGAGGGCGAAGGGGATGACGAGTGGGCCTTCCTAAATCTTGCGGGCTTGAGGACTCGGGGAGTGACGCATGCCTTGGTGGTCGCCAACATCTACGGCTGCGCCAGAGGACGTCCCAGCACTCCTATCGGATGGCAGGATCTGGAAGGCGCCTTCCTGCGCGTAGCGGGCTCCTCCGCACACAGCAAGGCCTTTTCCAATGCGGAGACCATCGGCTACATTGACTTAGATGGGATGACCGGACCTGCCAAGAACGGAGCAGGACTTGTCATGTTCTACCTCTCGGAAGATGGTTCTCTGGCAAAGCCCAGTGAAATGGTCCGCACGGATGATGCCGCACACAGCGGAAGCCACTGGAAGATGGCGGTGGTGAAGAAGCCATATGAGGGACACGTTCTGGATTCCCAAAATGCCCTGGCATCCTTCGGCTTGCAGGTGCTGTCGACGCCAGAGGCTAGCCTCCCGGAGCAGGTCTCCGAAATGAGTCTCCCTACTGCGCTTGGCACGGAACAGGACACCGGAACAAACACCGCTGAACTGCAGCCTGTGCTCCTGGATGGCATGTCTGCGGCCAACGACATGCACTTATCCGATGAGACAGCCCAGGAGCGACATGCCAAGGAGATGCCTCCACAAGAGTTGTGGAACAACTTGGCAGCCACGCTGCCTGAAGGCCCCCCTGGCACTGACTCCTTTTGCGCACCGGCTTTGGCAAGTAAATAGGCCCCAACTCTTCCCAGCGCGGAAGACAGCCGGCCACTCGTCAAGAGGCAGAAGAAAGACCGGCGTCAAGCAAAGGGCATGTGCAGAGCTGTGCAGAGCTGTGCTGAGCTGCGCTGAGCTTTGCTGAGCTGCCTCATTTGCAAACGCTTGCAAGCCTGCAGGCTCACCGGAGCAAGGCCTCCCAAAATTGGATTCGAGGTGTTTTAGCGACAGGGGTGTGTATCTCGGGGTGTGGAGGCAGCGGGATGTCGATGCCGAAGCACTTCTGCTGAGCCTGTCTGTAGAGCCTCCGTCGCTTGGTGTCTTTTGCTCTCAGGTGCAGCTCCGGGGCAGCAGTTCTGTTTGCAAGTTGAAGGCCGAGTCTTTGGTTGAGCCGCAGGTGGGCCCTGGGCCTCAGCCCTGCTTGCCATGGCATGGCGGCATGAGCAGGGTCGGACTGGATGCAGGTGCGAGAGGACTGCGAGGTTATCACAGCCGATGCGCTGCCCGTGAAAACAGGCAGAGGCCGCTTTGCCTTCTTGCCGGAGCAAACTTGTTTGCATTGAATCTTTGGGCAGCAATTGGCAGATTTCGCCTGATCATGGTTTTGGCTCGAATGGGTGCAGTAGTTACTGTACAATGTTTGAAGGCCACCGAAACCATTCTACGAGATGGCGTGCCCAGTAGAGTTCTGTAGCACAGAAAACCAACGAGTCGACAACGACGAGAGTGGTTGCAATGCGTGCCTTAAACATACCGAGCAAGGTTCATGTTTGTTGATCATATCTAGTCTCTGCACTTGGAACTGACGTGGCCATAGCCCATCAGCTGAATTCGCAAGGCGCTGCTGCCGTTGTGATCACTTCGTTCAAGACACAAGTGTTACCGTCTTACTTATCCTCTTGAAACAGGCCACCCGGCCGCTGCTCAAGTCCATGCATGTTTTGCTCACTTGCGGAGGCGTCGGATGGGCTAGAAATTCCTTTGCCTCGCGTCTGTACACAATATCAGTGACCGTCGCGGATCGGCTAAGAAGTTCTCAGGTCTGCTTCCCAAGAGCGCGCTTGGCATTTCTGTGGCTCTGACATTGGTTTGCAGCATCCAGGCCTCCTCCCGTTTAGCGTGTATTGTCTGGCTCGTTCAAGCTCGGACGAGGAGGTAAGTTAAGCATGCAGCTGAGCTCGTGATTTTGACCGTGGTTTGGGATCGACTTGGATTTCGCGTTGGCCGTGGGATCGTAGGCATCTCCCTCGCGTGGTCATGGTTCACAGGCTGCTTCCAATGTGACAGCGGGCTTAGAAGTGGATCTGTCCTACAGGGAGGCAGGGGCAACTCAAGCCGGAGCAGAGAGCTCAACAGCTCTGCTTCTGACTTTTGGAGTCAGGCTTCGTCAGCTCCGTGGACTTGGGCGGCTCACAGCCACTCGGATTAAGTTGGCCATAGTTGGCCACTTCCGTTTCGGATGCAAAGCCACATGCTTCCCAGGTGAGCACACTGCACGATCCAACGTGGCCAGCCCCTCGAGAGTAGGGACAGTGTTGCTTGTACTGCTCGTGGTGTCGATCGCCTCTGTTCGCCGCCTTTTTGCCCAAGACGAGTGGGACAGGGTAGGACGTCGAGGGAGGAGCGTTGCTCCCTAGCAAAAGCTTTGTCAGAATCGTTCTTCTGGTGGAAAATGGCAAACACTGCTTCGGGTGCATGGCTTAGGCGGTTTGATCGACGTGCCGTTACGTGTGTCGTCAAAGCGCACTGATTGAGGCTTCCTCGAGGATGCTGCTTACGACAAGTGTCTTGGTTGCACCAGCCAGGTCAAGCAGCTCAATTGCAGGCGCCGGGATCCAGGATTCATGCGTGCTACTAAGGATTTTGTACGTGAGCAAAGACAGGCTGGAGGTGCGGTACTGAGTTCGGCCGATGGCTGAAGCGCAAGCTCTGCTTGCAGATTCTCAGGCTATGAAAAGCAAGCTCAAGAAGAAAGCAGCGGTTCGCGCCCTGCAGTAGTCGTGAATGAGAGTGCAAAGTTCTTCGGCAAAGGCTGACGGTTTCGCTTGCCACGGCTACTCAGGACGTTACCAAAGAGGACGTCAAGGCTTTGATGCCACTTGTTTGCACCAGTGTCTGCCAGTTCAATTGAGTTCATGCTAGCTGTGCTTGTATGTGTCGAATGATTCCAAAGTGTCCCAGCAAGGTATCCAGATGATATGGAAGATGGCTCCATGCTGGTCCCGGTTGATGTGTCGGGCGAGCCAGAAGATTTTCCGACTACTCCCGAAGAGCTCACGGCGAAGGCCACTGCTCTTTGTACGCCCTCCTAGTGAATACTTCGCCTTGCTGCGAGCAGGTCGAGCCCAAAGAGGCAGTCACAGCTCTGATAAAAGCACACGATGCATTTGTGCCTCGGCGATCCCCCAGAACAGCAACTATGGGCCAAGTCACGGGACACGGATTTGTTTGCTCTGAGGAGAAGAACAAGTCCAAGTTCAGCAAAAACAAGCTCTTCGACTGTCGAAGTTTCAACGTTGGTTTCCACACTTATGGGCAAGGAAGTTTGACTGGTGCCTATTGTGTGTGTTGAACTATGCTCGTCATTCCGGGACCAAGGAGACCCATTCCAATGACAGTGGGCAGCTTTGCTGCAGCTGGGGCAATACTCTCACCGAACTCCACGAATCAATTCTCCAGGTGACTGGCTGACGCACGTGTCCATGGAGGAGGATGGTGGTGAGGAGGGCGGTGAAGAAGAGCAGCTGGAGACAGACGAGGCAGTTTGCCGTTTCCTTTTTGGCTGCTTGCCACCTTGTGCCAGCTAGGTGATCGAGCCATCGCCAGTGAAGAAGCGCAGAAAGCCCTGAAAGGATCCTAAAGCTAAGTGTCATTGTCACTGGGGTTGGACACACCTGGCAGTCCTGTGGTTTGTTCTTGTAGATCAAGCATGTTTAGATTGCCTTGTTTTGCAGCAGAGCGCCTCAGTGTGTCCAGTTCATCGAGGGGAATGCTGTGCGCGTATGCATCATGGCATTCAGATGTGTCCGCAAAGCGCGTGCTGCGCGACGGCGGTTGATGCGCTGGTGGGGTGACGGCGAAAAGCCGGCTTGATCGGAGTTTCTATCGCTTGTCAGCCAGAGATTTTCTGTCCAACTGCCTTTTTGTTTAAGGTCGTGGCACCAGGTCAAGTGACTGGCCCTGCCGTGCGCTCACTGTCGATCAGATGGTCAGTCGGTGACTGTTGCAGCCTGCCTTCAGGCCCGCAGGCTGCAAGACCCCAAGGCGAGAGTCTAGAGCAGATAATCGCATGAGTATAATGAGCTTAAAGTTCACTGTAGCAGGTCATCACCAATGAGCCCTGCGCTCAGCCGGGAGCTGCCCAACTTGTCGAGCACGCCTTGCGGAAGGGAGCATCGCCCATCTCGCCCAGGCTGGATTACACCCGAACGTCGATTTCGTTTACCTTTCTAGATGATGTTGAACCGCCGCTGCAGTTATCAGCTCAGGGGAGCCCATAAAAGACAGATCCACGTGCTGTGTTTTACCTGAACACCACAACTCAGGTGCCAGCCTACCGACTGTCAACCAACTGCCACCGGCATTTATGCGGGTGTGACTATCTCACAGGTGGAGGCTGGGTCGTGCATCTCCCATGACTCCCGGTTGTTTGTTGCATCATATTTGTGGCGCCCAGATTATCATTGACCCCGACACCTTCAACGCACCTGCTGCGAAATTACGAGTAGTTTACGACGAAGTAGACCGGGTCTGGGCCTCAGGACGCGGGGCTTGGCCGGTCCACAAGGAAGCAAACGGAAGCGGCAGAACATTAGTGACATTAGTGTTGTGGATAGAGTCAATGGGTTCCTATGACAGTTTGCTTCCGGTGATCGTTAAAAGACTTACAATCCTCTTTTCGAGAGATGCTCTCTGCATGCATCACAGCTCGAGATTTCATCCCACTTCTTTGAATCAGTTGTCTGTCGTTGTTGCTGTCGGTGCTGAATCCATGAAATGCATGTCCCGAGGGATTCCAAGTGCCGAGGCCGGCGCCAACCTTGGCCAGTGCCGCTATGGAAACTTCCCCTACGGAGCGCATTCGGCCACCGTGAACCAGCCATGGCTCATGAGCTTAGAGAGAGCTCAAAGCACCTTCCATGCGGTCTGACGCTAATCAAAGCCTTGCTTAGGTCTGGTGTGGGTGCCTCCACTATCACGCTAGGCCCAGATGATGAAGGTTGTTTCCTTCCACTTACTGCTGCAAGTCTGATGTCTTGTGCAGATGGGAGTATGCAAGCAAAGATCGATCTGGCAACCTTTCTTCCACTGACGCGGCATTCTCAAGCTGCCGGCAAGCTGCAGTGCATGCAAAGGCACAGTTTCAATGAGATCCAACTATCTGACAGGTTCAAGATGGGGGGCATCTACCACTTGTGCTACTCGGATGATGGTTCCTTTGATCCTGGGCACACGGACATCGTGCCTCAACGGATAGAGGCGAGACCTGGAGATGATATGAGTTGCTCCAAATCCTTGCCAAGCTTGCATCAAGGTCTACGGCATTTATGATACCCGTACCGAGTGTGCGGAAGGTCGCCCTGGCTTGTCCTCATGCTGAATTGCGTCTCTGTCTGTGTGTCGGTGTGTGTGCCTGTGGCACGTGTGGTCTCTTTGCGTGACAGCTGCACATGCCTGCGTGCTTGCACAGATGAGACGTGTCTGACGAAGCGACCGTACAAGTGCTTCTTGCGACGGCAAGCCTTCAACAACATGGAAGATGTCGGGGTCTCAGGCATGCAATCTTGACCGACTGCACATGGCCGAAAGCAGCACAAGCCAGTCAAGAGAAGCAACAAACACCAACAAGCATCGGATGCGACCCACCGGCGTTTTTGGTAAGGGTCGGGCCGCGCAGAAGAACCCCGCGCCAGCAGCTGAACCAAGAAGCAACCTGTGCCGGACACATACCGGGCGAACGAAGGATCAAACCTCGTGTGCAGGGGGACCCTAGTTCTGAATCATTCAGCAAGATATATCAGGAAGGAAATGCAAGGAAGCTTGCCTTGGAATGATGATTGTGGTCTTGGACAGGGCGGGGGGCACTCTCTCCGCATATTTCAGGACGAACAACAGAGCTTTGGGTGTCCCGAGCCCGAGAGGGGGGCTGCTTACGGCTTACGTAGATTTATTCCATCCACTTGTCGGGGGCCCCACCTGTTCACTCTGGCCGGGTCGCTTATAACTGCCGCGGCATCTTTGCTGTTGAAAGTCGTCTAGCTGCTGCGGCCAGTCTCCAGCCCGAGGCCTATGATGGCACAACATCTTGTGTCATTGACTACAGCTACGACGGAGCAGGCGCTCTCGGACTCGGACTAGACCGAGATTCCAAGTTGGAGGCTTTGCGTGAAGCCTTCGCCAGGCTTCAGAGGACTTCCTGGTGGAGGCAGAGGCTCTTGGACCGGTGAGTTTGCCACCAGTGCAGCACTGAGGTGATCTAAGAATTCAAGCGGGCTCTGCTTGCAAGTGTTGCCTACCGAGATTATGATTCTAACGGCATGGTCACCACAGAGATCTTGCGGTCGTGCGGCTCTAGTGGTGTACGCAGCTAAGTGATTTCAGATCACCACCGCGATTTAACTTTTTGAAGTCTTTGCATGTCTAAGTTGGGCGACTTCCCTGCGGCGTTTCTTTGCAATGCGGATGGTCAATGTGGCGATCTGGCCACGAGGGACCGCTTGCTTGTCATTTCGTGTCGAGCCTGCCCTTGGCAAAGTTGGAAGCAGAAAACTCGTGCAGAATCCTTACATCGTTCCGGACCCGGTGCATGCTTACAAGCGCACTCGTCCCAGCCGGCAGCATTCAAGCGGAAAGAACCTGCAATACCGGCGAATGCAGCAAAGTCATTTTCCGCCTGAGGGATGAATGTTCCTCCTGGACGACCGGACTTGCAAGGGCCGACCTTCAAGGCCTATGCAGTTGCAGCAGGGATCCCGGGAAGCCCATCATCGATGATGATCATCCAGCATCGCATGCTTCATGAGAGCCGACGCTAGCTGAGGCGTGCTACTGCCCTGATTTCCAGAGATGTGACTCTTTCAGCCCCGACTACGTGCAGCAGGTGGGAAACTTGGGGCTTTGCGTAGGGGCAGTTCGCGGCTTGCGTGCGCAGGTGGGGCTACTCTACTTCTTCGCAACCAAGGCCCTTCGATGCTCTTCGACCTTCCGACCTGTGCTTTTGACGAACTCGCGCGTGAAGGTGTGTCCCAACGGCTTCGAAGCCGTGGCATGCGCACTGGACTTCACAGGTGCAGGGTCCATGGGTTGGAGAGACAAGACTTTACTGGCACCTCCCTCCACCTGAGGTGCTGCGCCGCAACACCGATTTGCATCATCCTTAGCTCAGGGCAGCAGCGAAAAGCACTTCGTATAGTGGAACGGAGGAGGAGGAGACCGCAAAGCACTCGCTTTTGTCAACTCCCGGAGGCGCTGAAAGTGGAATGTCCCAGCACGGCCTGCACTTTTGCAGCGACAAGCCGCATCAAAGTGGTGATGCAGGAGGCCGGCTTCTGAAGAAGGCACTTCGCCCTGCTGTCGTTTTGAATCCAAGCTGAGGCCAACAACAACCTTCCGGACTGGGATCCTTCGTCGGGATGTGGTGCTGCAGTACATGGCGTCAACGCATTGGGTGTGCAGGTGCGGTTGGATGCGCTGTGTTCGTTGTGTCGACTTAGGACTTAGGACTGCGCAAGGTTTTGCCATCAGACGACAACCCTGATGTTGCTCAGAGCTTGGCCGATGATGACAGACCCGTGTGCATCTGTGGTGCTTGACCATCTCCTGAGGCTACAATGAATGGTGGCTTGCGCCAGGACATCAGTATTGTGGTTCTTGTCGGCAAGGACAAGCTTGCAGATTTTTGGGCTCCGTCTGCGCCAGGACTACAAAATCTGGAACTTCAAGAACTCCTCCTCGGGCCTGATCTTTGACACCAAAACATCTGGTTTCCAATTCAGGCCAGATCGCAGCGTTGCTGAGACGCACGTGTGTGGAAGCATTGTGTTGATTTTAGCAAGCGACACCGTGGAATTTGAGTGAAAAACCCCCGCTGCACTCTCCTTCGCAACATGTTGGCTTTAGAGAAAGGGACCAGTCCCAGTTTTGAAAGCCCGGCCGGGCTCTCGGGCTCTGGGCCGGGGAATGACGACTCCTGACCTTTTCACGACCGCACCTTGGCTGCAAGTTCAAGTCTCTTCCCTCGAAAGCACGAAGTGGCCCTCAAAAGCGCGAGGTTGGTTTTGAAAAGAGCAAGATTGGAGCAAATGCTTGGGACTCGGTCGCTGCATGGTGATGGCATCCAGGCAAAATGAGGCATGGCATAAAGTGTTCAGAGACAGAGCTGCGAGGACACTGAGCTGGGTTATGCGCCGCTCGGACAGCATGAGTTGCCGCAGTTTTCTTTCCGTCCTGCACGTAGCCTCCCCAAGGATCAAGAGGACGAGATTGATTGGTTTGCTCGTCGGCAGTCTTGGCTGCATTGGGATCCTCGCTCTTGTCGGCGTCTGGTCGCAGTTTGAGTCGACGGCTCAGTTCAGTATCAGCCCCTGACACTCGTGTCGAAGAAACTCCGGCCAGGATCCATTTGGAACGGAGGAGCCTGCATCGAGAGCTCCGAAAAGAGGAACATCATGCAGCCTCAAAGTTGGCGCAGGCCAAGCCGAGCGAACGAGCGAAGCAGCAATGTCAGTCAAGGCGACTGTGGCAACTTTCCCCGCCTGGAAGGTTGGAATGGAGCTGTGGTCCGAATACCGAGACGACATCCATGAATCGCACGAGGCTTGCGGTGTGCCTTCAGCCTTCTGCCAGGCCAGAGGCAGTTTTAGAATGTCAGCAGGCGCAGATGCTCATGAAGCTGCTCAACGTGACATACCAGAGCTTCGAGGTGCGATTCACTGCGATGTGAGAGGAAGGCCTCATTCCATATCAAGGCCAACCAATCTTGCAGGCTCGGGTGAAAGCCACCGTGGATGAAACGTCCAAGGATCTTGGCTTAAACAAAGAGAAGGCCGGAGTTTGTGAGGTCGGTGAACACAAGTGATCATCAGTGCAGTATCTTGCCGTCGGGTGCAGGCAGCCAAGCTGGCTGACACCCTTCTGCATCTGGTGACGATCTTAGTGATTGAAGCTGTCTCACCTGTTTCTCGAATGATTTTGGCCATCCGAGGTTGCTGATCAGCAGCAGATGGGGCTCAAGCACACAAAAAGGTCCCCCGCCACCCCTGGTGCATCCGTTTTGAGATGTGAAAAACCCCTCGAGGTTGGTGGATCACCTAGTCGAGGCTGGCAAGCGTGCCGTCCCGCTGGAAAAGCACACAGAGAAAGAGGCCCGGTCCGGCCCCACTGGATCAAGTTTCCTTTCTTTTTCTTTCTGCTTGGTCAGTAGTGGCACGTGCAGGTGTTGCAGGAAATGCAGCAAGAGGAAAAGATGATAGAAGAGGACTGCCATGAATGCAGGCAGCAACAGTAGCTGGGCTGCTTGTGCCGCCGTCCCTTCAACAAGGAGGGTGAACCTGAAGATGCCCTCCCAGGCAGCGGGTGGAGTTGTCGATGAATTTGTCGGGACATGCTCTTTGTCTGAAATCTAAAGTCCTCAGGTGGCAACGAGACGGGCGACCCCTTGAAAGGCACCTTGACGGCATGCGTAGAATTCCGATTCGAGCACTCGATCCGATTCGGCCTTGTGTTCCGAACACCCGAGATTCGGGCCTGCAGCTGTTTAAGCACGCCAGCGATATCCAGTGATGCAAGCACCAACGCGACCCAAGTACGGCGATTGAAGGAGGCGCGATTCGCGAGCCGACGGCATTCGGCTGGCCGATCGTTTTCTCCTATTTTGCGTACATGGGCAGTGCGCGCAGCAGCAAGCAGGGCAGGTGAGCAACGTGCTGCCAATGCAGGGGGGTTCGGTCGCACCCCCAATTCAAGCACCAACCATCCAAGCAATTTAGGGTGGGGGCAGGTTTGGGTTCAGGTTGTTGAGTTTGGGGTTTTGGGGCTTATGATTTGGGGTATTACCAGGCAAGGCATTCCGAATTTTCGGGTTTTAGGGTTTAAGGTTTCGGGCTTGGCTCTGCTTTCGGCGTTGACGGTTTTGGTTTTTTCCGGCTTTAGGGCTTAGCATTATTGGTTTGGGGCTTTCTTGGGAAATTGGGTTTAGGGTATCAACAGGCCAATGGGTTTGCCGGTTGGGGGTTTTCTGATTTGACGTTTTCGGGTTACAGTGCTTCATTTGAGGCCTGAGAGAGTTTGGGAGTATCAGCAGTCCTCCTCTTCCCTGCTGTCCGGCTTTAGCAGCCATGCAAAGTGGCGATTGAATTCCCACTTGTAGGCAAGTCAAACCATAGCAGCCTAGGCAGTTGGTGCTCGAATCCTGCACTTTCGCCTCCCCCGGTGTGTGAATCCTCGGTGTGGGAACCCTTGGGCAGATGTCGAATCGGCAGTTTCCAGTGCACGAATTGGAATCCCATCTGAGACCGTGCATGACCGACATTTACAGAGAAGGTGCTGTGGTGATTCAGAAGCCGCCGAGGACTGCTAGACGGCTTCTTCTGGGTCTTCAACGACTACGAGAGGACGTCCGTCGTGTGTTCCTTTTCTACCAAGCCACTGGTGTCAGTCTTCTGTGAGTTCTGGGAATCGTGTGCGGCAGGGAGTTCTCGGGAAAGCCCCGCTCGATGCTTCACCCGGGCAACACAGCCTATGATGCTCTCAAGGTCAGAACTTGTGAGTCTCGGACCGTCCTTTTGAGTCCTATTCCTGGACAGTCACTCAACGACAAGATGAACGACTTGACCGAAGCACAGATCGCCGAGGAGCCTTTCCCTCAGTCTCACCGTACGGAGAGACCCGGCCCCGGCTGTCCCATTGCGCCTCGCTTGCTGTAGCCGGCTGTAACACTCCAGGTTGGACAAGATTGACCTGAGCGCTGTGGGCGCCGGCCTCGGCTCTGGAAGGGTCTTGCCGGCGAAGGACATCGTGGAGGAGACGAGACGCTGCTCTCAGGAGAAGGGGAAGCCCCCGAGACCCTTTGACCTTTCTCTGCAGGAGCTGCTGATGATCGGCACCATACCACACAAAGAACTTCGAGGTCTAGAGGAGGCACAGCTTGCCCAAATTTCGCTGCGATCTTCTGCTTTTCCCTCGAGCAGCGCGGGAGGCCTGGAAGTCAGGGCAGCAGGACTGCTTTGGCTGCTTCGCTCTGCACCTGATAAACGTTGTCACGAAAGCTAGAGTAGCTCTTCTGAAGCTTGCGGCTTGCGCCACAAGTGTCGGGAAAGAATTCCGGGGCTTTTTGGTTTGATGGACAAATCAATACTGGAAGGCCTCGAGGCCTTCACACGGATGCCGTCAGGGATCCGACTTCGCCTCTTGACTCCTTCACTGAACCCCTTGCTTTGCAGGCTCAGTGTTTTTGCTGCCCCGAAGCCCTGCAGTCATATAGGTCGGACTCAGCACTGCCAGCATTATGCCTCACTCCGGCAAACGAGGTAGTGTGGCAGTGCGCTAGCTTGAATCAAGGGCACTGATCAGAACACGCCACCTGGGAACTGTTTTGCTTCCTTACCCCTAGCATTCCTCGCCCCTTCTCAGATATCTGAATGTTAAGTCGACACTCACGTATGCTCTTTGGGGGAGGATTCTGTGCGGATCTTCGGAAGGTTGGCCGTGGCTTGGATTCAATACAGTCCTGCTGCGGTCAGGGACTGGTCCAGTGTCGTGGAGCCAAGGCCATGCATGAGCAGCACAGAATCCCATCTGGCTGGCTGCAAAAAGGCATCGACGAGGAGTCGGCTGCAATTTACTGGCCCTAGGGGTGGGAGTGGGCTGTTCAGCTTCGCTGCATACATTAGACTACATCACACATGCGCAATAAGTCCATACATGGTTCGATCACCCAGCCATGCTGCTCTCCTCTTTCAGGCTCCTTTGTCAGGCAAGTCCCGGTCCATGCGTCAACATATGCCATGTCTGGATGAACCACATGCATTTGAAGGAAGTTTTGCACAGTTTTCTGACAAGTATTTTGAGTAGTTTGAGAAGGACATCGAACAAACATGCAGAATGGCATCCATATAGTTGTTTACTGGCTTACTTACTACCGTTGAGTTTTGACCCGATGGATGTTGCTGCCAACGGCATCACATTGTTTTGGCATGGTGCACACATGGGTTGGAGTCGCTTCATCAAAATACCTGTAGATGCATCGGGCGAAGGCTGGATGCCCTCTTGTGGCGGTTCGCCCAACTGTTTCACCCACCCCGCCGCTTGAAAGTCGGCGCAGGCTTCTGGATTAGCCGACATCTGCACACCGCTGCCGCATATCTTGGCTTGCGTCTGTGCTTCAGCCTCGCATATGCACATCCTGTTCGTTTCTTACGGTACTGAATCCTCCAAGACTGCCGGAGACGTATCCTGTTTCGATGTTTGGCTCTCCACATGTCTTTCATCAGTTGCAGCGAGACTGATTTTCGAAGACCGCACGGCGTGCTACCGTTGGTTCACTTTCAACATCTTCCTAGGCACTGGTTTCATCCTCCGTGTTCCTAGTAGGACCCTCTGTTCATTGTTCATGTAATCATTGCACCCGCGCAGGATGAAAGAGAAGAGATCGCCGAAGAGGAGCAAGAAGAGAAGCACGAGGTGGAGACTCTGCACTTCCTTTGATGTTCACCTCTTGCGAGTCCGTGGCTTTGCAGGGAGAGGCGGCAAAAGCCTGATCCTGGGATCATGCTCACTGAGAGCAGCTAATGACCGACAGGTACATTTGATACAGTACCGCTTTCGTGCGAAGAACAGGTCAATGCTTGTTACGTTGGTATTTGCCCGATGAGCATCGCAAAATGTGGGGCTTTGCCTGTTCTGTTCTTGTCGCCACTAACTCTGTCTACAGTCGAAGGACATGTGGAGCTCTCCCAACTCTTCTGGTATCGGGTTGTAGGAAGAAGCAAACAGTCGGCACCGTAAAGCTCTGATTCGAAGAGTCGGGAGAGCAAACCGGGATGATTGCCATATGCTGGGCGACATTTTTCCTGCCCGGCACATAAGGGCATCTATTGTCCTTCTAGCAGGACACAAGTGGGTACCCAAGGGACGTGACCATCGTTTTCGCAAGAAGCTCATGCTTCACAAGTAGCCGGATCGTGTAAAGTTCACACCAATAGCCTGGCTGCGAACTTGCAGTTGGAGAGGATGAACCTCGAGATACTACGTAGCATGTCCTGCAAGACCTTATCATGATCTTCCTCTTCCTCTGCTCATCACAGCACAGGGCACCAGTGCTTACAAGGCCAAAAGCTTTGCAGCGCCGTGTGCGTCAGAAGCTGTCGAGCAACACATCGCTTTTGACTGAATGCAGATGTATGACCTCCATTCTGTGAGGACGGGTCCCACAGATCATGAGCTTCGCAGCCGGTACTCGGGAGAGACCTTCGACGCCCAGGGCTCGGCATGGGTCTGATGTAAGCGGGCCGAAAGATGCTGGACACTGATGAGGTCTGCTTCTGTGACGGTGGTTGCACGGTCACCGCGAATTGGTTCAAGGCATCCCAACTTCAAAGAACTTTGCGTCCTGGATTGGAAAAGCGAGAGGTCGGTCAGCTGCGCTTCGCCCCCTTCCAGCCTGTCAGCGCAGCCTCCAACGTCTCTGTCCTGTGAACCACTCAGTGTGCTGTCCTGCGGTTCCTTGGCAAACAAGTCGAGCCACTTTCCTTTCGTGTTCCACGTGTCACAGGCAGGACGAGTTTATCCTTGAGTACATGAACACTCCTGGAACTTTCGGCTTCTATCGTCCATGGGTCCACCGGGCTCTGATTCATTTGTGCATCTGGGAAGGCAGAACACAATTGGCTTTTGGCCAGGTTGACTACGGTGTCATGGGCTTGCAGGACCTTTGCGCTCCACAGCTGTTCAAGCTGTCGCCTTTTGCAGACTGAGCTCCGCACCCCCTTTCTTGGCACCTCCATCGCTTTTCAGGAAGGGGGTGCTTTGAAGCTGGTCTCGGATCCTGACTTGACCATGACGGACGAGGGCTGTGTCTCTGCGGAGTCCACTACCCAGATAGAGTTAAGCAGAACCCTTGCCCATTTTGGGTAATAATACCACCGGTCAACCCATTAGACGATTATTTCTATACTCCCCCCTACATCTCACTAACTATATCACCGCTACTACCCATTACCTATACAAGTATAGGAACAACCGACTACCCCATCCATATTTCCTAAGGTGGTATTCTCATCCCAAAATGGGCGAAAGCTCTCTCATAGCTTTTACTAGGTTTTGCGCGAAAGGTGTTGCATCACAGGTGTTGCACAAGGGGAGGTCAGAGCGCTACTTTTGGCACCTGCAGGCTCAGAACCGAAAAGGCAGGTCATCATGCAGGTGTTGTGTTCAACCAAATTTATGCCTCCTAAACCCCAAACCCTAAACCCCTCTACCAGGACAGGAGTCATCTCATTCCGCAAGCCCCATGTCGCAATGGGTTGACTGGTGGTATTATTGCACCCAAAATGGGCAGGGGTTCTGCTAACTGATAGATGGGATCCAGGGCTAGCGCCGAACCGCTTCTGCAACTGCAAGCTGGAAAACACGTAGCTGTAGGTATAGCCGAACCTTGGTGGACCCCAACACGCTGACCATCCAGAACGTGCTGGGCTCAGGGCCGGACTGCACTGCCGAAGAAGTGCTCGTAAGAGTTGTTGGCTGCTTGGCAACCCGTTCTCCGGTCGAGGCAGCTACAGCCTACAGCGGAAAAAACAATGCGGCTGCTGATGTAAACAAGCCCGGCTCTCGTGTGGCTCTTCTGCGAGGTGTGGCTAAGAGCGAACTGGCAGGCTCATGTTCAACAATGCAATTATGGCCAACACAATCATCGTGAACCAGGCTCGGCTTTGCGGTTGATGCATGCCGCTTGATTTATTGTTGAAGCACAAGAGCAAGAGACCATGTGGCGTGGTCTGTTGGGCAGGCTGGTTTCGTGGCGGTGTGTTACTGTGCACGACCGGTTGAAGACACTCCCGGAGCTGGAGCTTGAGTTGAGTAGGTTGAAATCCGACAGCCTCTGCATCCGAGCCTGTCTGCGGGTGGCTGAGGTCTGTGCCCACGATCAGTGGGTTGGAAACTCGGCCTCCTCCGTGCATTGCCGCTTTCCGACTGCGCCGTGTGAGAGTCAGGTGATGGTGAATCGCCTGACCATCAGAGGGCCGGGCCCTGGCCAAAGCTCCTGCCTCGGACCAGCTCAGGCTCACCGACAGCTCTGAAAGCAAACTGCTCTTTACTGACTGGCTTCAGGTTGGACAGTCTCCACGAATGTGACCTGGAAGCAATGTCTTTCCTCTGGCACGACTGGGCCATGGGCCATGGGCTGACAAAGGGGAGAGTCTACGCGCGAGGTCGTTTTCCGGATTGAGTATTCCGGATGGGGTCTGGCGAAGGCTGGAGAAGGGGATGGGTGTCCTCCTGCAGTGCAGCTCGTCGTTGCAGCTCGGAGTGAAATAGCTAAGCCAGCTAAGCTTGCCTCGGCGCACAGGATGACAAGGTTCGGATTATCCCGGCCACCTCCCAGTGCTCCGATGTCAACGGCAACCCGCGGGCGGCGTGGGGCGTCTCGACCCCGGCAGAAGCGCAGAGCACGCGCTCGCGCAACGTGTCCAAGGAACGAAAGAAGGAGAGAGAGAGAGAGAGAGAGAGAGAGAGAGGGGGGCGCTTGCGTGCTCCTTTGTCCGATTGCAAGCAAGAGAGAGAGAGATAGAGAGAGAGAGAGAGAGATCCGTCTGCTCCCGCCGGGGCATGCCCTCAAGCCTGGGGAAAGAAAGAAATGAGAGAGAGAGAGAGAGAGAGAGAGAGAGAGAGCGAGAGAGAGAGAGAGAGAGAGAGAGAGAGAGAGAGAGAGAGAGAGGAGAGGGAGAGGGAATTTTGTGATACGTTGCGATGTTTGTTCCTCTGCAGCCTTCAGCCTTCGGCAGCTCTGAGGTCACGAGCATCAAAGTTGGCTGTCCGCATCCGTGCTCGGAGGCTGGGCTCCGGCGGGCTCTGATACGGTCACGTCTCACGTCCTCCCCCTTCCCCTCCTCGCGGGCCTCGCATGCAGCGGAGCAGTGAAGGTCGGTGAGATCAACGACGTTCTGAACGGAGATATCTCAGCCCGACCCTCTGCAAGAGTTTCAGAGCTGCGAAACCGCAGATGCGGCTTCTGCCAGGTTGGTGTCCTCTCATCAGACTCCTACATGTGCGACATCCAGAATGAAGGCTGCCGAACCAACGACATCAAGGCGAATCGGCTGACAGTCCCCCACGCGGCGAATTGACACCATGCTGAGCTGCATCTCTCTCTTCGCAAAGAAGGTGAGCGCATAACATTACATCCACAGCTCTGACATCACCCAATACTGCTTGTCCCTACTGTATTGAACATGTCGGCCAGTAACAGCGCAATCAAGCACATGTGTTGAGAGGGCCGAGACTAGCGAAGACGTCGTTGACAGCACTGGCACCCTTTCGACAGGCGGTCACGGTGATGGATGAGTTCACCACAGAACTGGAGTTCGAGGTGGGGTTTCGTCCGACTGTAAGTCTTCGGTTCGATATCGAGTTGTACGGGCTTCGCCGCCCTGCGGTGGAACAGTCAGCATGTGAATATCAAGAGGCTCGGCATGCATTTTGACAGGCATCCTCCACTCTCTCAGATGGTGACTTGATCACTCTTGGTCTGGCACACGGCTTGGGCTGTCGTTCTTCTCTGTGTCCATAAAGCATGCTGCCCAGGGGAGAATTTCATATGCGCTCCGGGACAGACAGACGTCGTCTCGAACTTAGTAGCTTCATGTGCGAGAACCACTGTGACACGATCTTATTAGCTTGCTCTGGACATGTCCTCCAACGCAAGCTAGCAGACCATGTCCCTGTCAAAGGTTTGCAACCACGAGCGTCTCTCTGTGCTCAGGGCGCGCGTGCATATTCGGTTGTGTTTGGGGTGCTTGCTGCATGCTGCATCACATACGATTTGCATGCCAGGGTCGCTATGACCTCGCGGACAGACTGGACAACCACAACTCGGCCCCGAACGAGTACATTGCAGGTCGGACTGCGCCGGTTTTGTCGGACTCCATCCAACCCCTCTGTCAGGTCATGCTGTGACTGTGGATCCTACGGATTCCAAGAAGGCCACGCAACTCAATCGTGACCGGCCAAAGCCTTGCAAAGCAAATCCCAACAGGTGACTATTCGAGTTGGCTGGCCCGATCCAAAGCCACAGCTCTGCGCTGAGGTCTGCTCTCTTTCACAGCTTGTTGCCTTCGTGGCTCGTGACTCTCTTCGTTCTGCGAGCAGCATTCAGCCCCGCGAGCAAGCTTCAGTGAAACAGCAGAGTGTCAGCGAAAACTTCCCAGTAGCCTTTAAAGTTCGTTTGCCAGCGATGGCAACTGCCGACACATGAGCCCACAGGAGGAGCTCCTTCCATTGCAGTGCGAAAGATAAATCCATCATACAGCATACAGTGGTCTGCAGTGATACCGTTGCTTCGCTGACATGCAGCCCTTGAATTTGAAGGAGGCTCCATCAAACTCTATCATTCGTCTGATCTTGTTGCGAGTCTCGCAGTTGCAGCAAGGAGTTGCGAGTGGCAGTCTCCTATGGTGCGCTCGAGCCCGTAGCTGCTGCTTTGAAAGCAGGAGATGCCTGCACAATTGTGTAGCGATGCTGCTGAGACAGATTCGCGAGGAGCCAGCGTGCACGAACCTGGACCAGCCGGTGGATGGCTGCCGGTACACACGGCTGCCTCCTGCGGCAATCTTGGCACCTTGATTTGTTCATGTTGTCTGACATGTAGCCTAAGTGGGGCTTGTGTGAGGGTTTAACGAGCAGCCCTGTAACTGCTTATGCCCGAGGCATTCTGAAGCTGCTCATAGAACACGAGGCAAACATCCATCAAGCCACTTCAAGGCCGAATGTTCCATTGTCCGGCTGGACCGTTTGGAGAGTGCAATTTCTGCCAGTTCGTTCCGACTCCTACTGTTAGCCGATATCGGGCTGAGGAGTGAAAGCTTTCCAGGTGTGTTTTGAATGATGGCAGGTTGGGTGCACAGCCGCTGCATCTAGCAGCAAAAGAGGGTCACGTGGATGTAGTCGAGTTCCTGCTCGAACAGCGAGCTGCCTGCTGCTCAGCAGCTGTCCAACACGTGCGTACGCCCACGCTGCCGCCTTCCTCCTTGAAAGCTTGGCAGGATATCAACGCGAAAGATAGGAACTGGCAGACGCCGGTAAGCCTTGCCTGCCAAAAGGGGCGTCTGAAGGCGGAGCTTTCGGCATCCTACAGAGTTCGGGATCTTGTTTGCAGTCTTGAAGAGGTCGTGGAATTTTTGGCGGATTTCGACGCCGATCTGACCAGCTGCGACGAGGGCAGAGCCACGCCTTACGATTGGAGTGTCTGTGGTCTTTCCTACATTGGTGACAAGTACGAGAAACTTGTCTGCAGTGTTGCCACGTCTCTTTCATCGGCTTTCCCTCTTCAGCCAATGCCCTGCCTGAGCGCTCTTGCCGAGCTTTGGAGTTTTGTTGAGACGAGGGAGTACGAGAAGATCTGCGATGCGTTGCAAAGGCGAGGTGCGAAGGTGCCACCGCCCTGATGGAAGAAATCAGTCTGGTGCCTAGAGCTCTGTCTTGCCGTTGCTCCGTTGCAGGTTCAAGGAGAGAACTTGGGGCCGCTTGAACGATGCCCCTACCCATCGAGCCAGCGCCTTGGAGACCCTACCGGTAGCAACTGCGTCTTAGTCTTGGAGACCCTGAGCCTGGCAGCTTTGGGCATCGGGACGTGACCCGTGACGTGCCCAGGTCGTGGGCAGGCTAACTGCTGAAAGCCTGAGCGCGGTCAGCAGCCAGCAGCCTTTGAGCCTGATGCGAAAGTGCATTTCGAAACAGCAACAGCCCGATGCCAAAGTGCATTTTATGGGGGGCAAGCAGCCATGTGCATGCTGGCTGTTCAAGATCTCTTTGCTCATTGCAGAGCTCTGCGTGCAGACGGCGAGTCTGCAGATCACTTATCTCGTGTCGCCATTCGTGTAGGGCCCAAAAAATAAATCTAGATTCAGCATGCACATCATATAACTTTTGTCAGCGCCTGTTTTGATTTGAAATGCTCAGGTTCACAGTGCAGTACATCAACAATCGCCGAGGCCGCTGGCAACGGCACAGCAAGGCCCGTCTGCACTTCGAGCCCATAAAAAGCCGAGTATAGATTCGATGCATGCCGGGGCTCTAATTTGGAGCTGGTTTTAAGATGCCTGTGGCGGCATAAACAGAACAGCCCCCCATGTTGTACATCCAGCCCAAATGCATGCATATGCCGTTTTGTCCTGCCAGTAGATCTTCGGGGTGACATGCCGGCAGCGCACACGAAGTTGCATTGACAGTCTCGGACAAGAGTCCAGTGTTGAATGCTTGCGATTGGACGGCATTCGGTGAGCTTTGAGTCTGACATGATTGCGGTTTTCGGTGCAGTGTGCGTGCTGCAAGTCTGCGAGGAGCTGCAAGGTGCTGCTGGTGATACTGATCGTACTGTATTGTGATGTACTGTAACCTCTTGCAGCCTTGAAGTGTAAAGCAGTGCTGTGCACCCTGAGACAATAGTGCAATGGCATGCAGAGCATGCAGTGTACTGTACCGTGTTCTGAGTGTATAGTTCTATGTACCTGCTTCTGCACCTGCATGTGGCCTTTGCGCATACATGCCTGCGTGAAAGTTCAAGCAGCTCTTCAAAGTTTCCCCCTGTTCGTCCATCCATCCATCCACCTATCCATGTGCCCGCTCGTCTGCCACTTGCACTACTTGTCGGTCATCTTTCTCTTGCGCTTCACACATCGAAGGGTGCATGCATGCGGGCGTGACATGGATACACTCAAACACACATACGTACGAATGCGTGAACAGTCAAGCCTGGCTTTTCAGTGGGTCTTCTTCTCTAGATGTATGAAGAAGGCCGTCTGTATTGTAAGTATGGTGTGCAGTCTGGCATTTCCATAGCATGTTCACGTGTACGTATGAATGGGATGCATTATTGAGTGTACATATGTATGTACGTACGTATGTACGGACGTATGTGTATCTGTGTGTGTATGTATACATGTATGTGTGTGTATCTGTGAGTGCGTATCCATGAGTGCGTATGTATGTGTGTGTATGTATGTGTACGTATGTATGTATTTATGTATGTGTGTGTAGGTGTGTGTGTATAAGTGTGTGTATAATTATGCGTGTTTTATTCGTGTGTGCGTGCTTGCGTGCTTGCGTGCTTGTGTGTTTGTGTGTTTGTGTGTGTATGTAGTATGTGTGCACATGTGTGTGTGTATGTGCTTGTATGTGTGTGTGTACGTTTTCGACAATCTGTGTATAGTTGTGTGTATGTATGCGTGGATGTGTGTTGTATGTGGGTAGGTAAGAAAGAGCTCCGTATGCAAAGATGTGCCTGTGTATGTATGTATGTATGTATGTATGTATGTATGTATGCGTGTAATATGCTTATATTCATGTACGCATGTATGCATGCATGTTTATATGAATGTATACATGTCTGCATTGTTTAACTAAGCGGATCCATGCGGCTGCATTTGTGCGTGCCCCATCCATTCAAGGAATTTGCTGGAATGGTCATTGTCGCGTCCAATGCATGTGATGGGACAGGCACCAGGAGCACCGCTTGAACATGGTTTTGAAAAGATATGCCGGGGCCAGACGTGCCTTGCACAGAGCCCGGCCGTCCCCACCTGCCACCGTCCAAACATCGGAAGCTCGGGCAGTCAATGAAATGGATGCAGCAGCAGCGCGTGGTGATGTCTTGACATCTGCTCGCCTTTTCAATCAGCTTCGACACACACGTCTTTCAAACTCCTCTTTTCTATGGAATTTGATGTTAAAGGCATACGCTTGTGCTGGTGACCACAAAGGGGCACGTGAGCACGTGTGTCAGATGCAAAGCTTCCAAGTCCATCCGACGCATCGCACATTCGGGAAGGTGATGAAAGCAGCAGCTAGACGCGGGCTTCCTTCGGAGTCCGAGAGGGCTTGGAGGGAGTTTCTGCAAAGTCTGAAGGCTTCTAACTATGCGCCCCTGCAAGATCAAGATTTCAGGTTGAAGGTGAACATGATGGTGGATGCTGCTGCTAATGCCGGTGATGCGGAACGTGCTGTGCACTGGCTCCACCAGTTGGGAGATGCTGCAGACTGCTGGAGTTATGCCGGTGTTTTGAAAGCCCATGCAAGCCAAAGTAATGCACCAGAGGCAGTCAGTTGCTTACACGAGATGCGAAACAGGCGCATTACGCCTGATTCGGTATGTTTCGTTGCTGCTATCACGGCGTGTGGTCGGAGCGGCGATGTTGACGGAGCTCTCGATCTGCTTCAGCAGATGGAGCTCGAGAGTGAAAGCTGCAAAGCAAGGATCCAAGCAGACCTTGATGCTGCCAGTACTTCAGTGGTAAACGCGTTTGCGAAGTCGTCTAATGTTGCTGGTGCAGAGGAATGGTTAGAGAAGAGCCGGACGACGCCTACATTGCAGATGTATCATACTTTGCTTGATGCTGCGGGGCATTCTGGGCTTCCACGACGTGCAGAGCACTTCTTTCGCTGCATGCTTGCAGCAGGCCATCAGCCTTCTGCACAAAGCGCAGGTGCATTGATCGCAGCGGTCTTGGCTCCAGAGACGTCGCTATCTGGTATCCACCGCGAGTCCAAGACGCAGCTCGAAGTGTTGCAGAGGTTGAATCTCGGTCTTGAGAAATCTGCTCCGGTTCATCTGGCACTGACAGACGCATTCTCGCGGTCCTCCCTTTGGACTTCTGCGCTGAGCCAGCTGAGCACTATGGCAGGGGATGGATGTGCTCCATCTGTGCAGGCCTACACAGCAGCCATCACAGCCTGTGGCAGAGCTTTGCAGATATCCAAGATGAAGCACCTTTTTGATGTCATCGCGGACCTGCGATTGCGCCGCGACGACGTGGTTTACGGCTCGTGCATCCACGCCGCTGCTAGATCCAGAGACCGAACGTTGGCCGAAGAGTTGCTTGAACAAATGCTCGGCGAGTGTCTGGAACCGAACGAGAGGACATTGCAGAGCCTGCGAAAGGTCCTGTCGGTCGATGAACTTCGGCACAGAATCGCGCGTGCTAGCAGCAAAAAGCACTATCGCCCGTCCCCGCCGTAGACCCAGCACTGCAAGTCTGCGGCTTGTTTGTTTGTCAGGCGATCACCGCCGAAGAAATCATGGGCGAGAAAGAAAGGCAAGCGTCGGCGGATTGTGCAGTTTGGAGTTCGGATTGCATGCGCGAGATGTAGTGGCACAGGGTTGAAGTGATATGTAGAATACCGGGTAGAGCTAAAGACAGTGCTAACAGCTTGGGCCTGTGACGGCCTGTGTGTAGACCAGTCGACTGGTACTATCCTATCCCAAAGGCCGATGGTGCTCCAACCTGGTCACAGCTCCACTTGCCAGGATTGACATGAAGGTCTGCTGGAAGTACACACCCGCCATGGGTGAGTCGGGTCCGGCACCGCGGCATGTAGCAGAGGCCTCGAGCATTCGCCTTGTGATGCCGTCTTGGATATGAGTATTCCCCCGACTCTGTGCGGAGGTGGGCACGCTCACAATGCTGGACCCGAATGCCATGAGCGAGTGTCTTGTAAGTCCTGACCTTTGAGACGTCACATGGGCCGTCAATATAGTAACGCGTGCTTGTGCCTGACTCCCTCCTCGGTCAGGCCTGACCACGTTGGTGAAGAAGCAGATGACGCCATATGCACCGATGATACTGTCGTTCAGGCAAAGGCCTCAGCAACTTCATTGACAATTTGCACATGGCTGCGGACCTCTTGCTGTTTCGCGCGAGTCGTGGCGTGTGCACTTTTCGATGAGGACTGCCACAGCTGAGACGGGAAAGCGATACGAGTCTCTCGAGGCGTCTTGATGTCTGCACTTTCAGTGTTTTTGGTTGGAGAGCCTGGTAAGTATACCTAAGACATGCTAACACTCTACAAGCAGTGCCATTCATGTGAAGTTGATCCTTCCAGGGCCGGATGCGCCTCAGGATTTATTTCGTCAGGACCACATCTGAGTTCGCAACCTGTTCTTGAAGATCTAATTGACGTTGCACCCGAGACAGAGTTGAAGTTTCAGGACTGTGGCATTGAGAGCCACTTTCACAGATGGTGCGATCATTGAAGACAATCAGGTGCAAGCTCTGGTGTTGTGTCGGGTGCAGATCGTGTTGTTTGCGTGCTCCCTTTGCACACTCTCGGATGTCTTGTGTTGGCACCATGGGGGCGTGACATGCAGGGAGAGGACGAGCTTAATGAGGCCCGACAGTGCGCCACCTGCAAGTGTCTGCACTTCTGGGCTAGGTGCTCGTCTCGTCCACTAATCTCCTCCATGATGTTCCTCACTTCGAAGCACAGGTACATTTGTGGCAAGCTCTTCCGGGAGGTGTGGTCGAGTGATGAGGAGCTTGGCTTCCCCATGCCCAGAGGCGACATGGGGATCCCACGGGCCACCTTTCGTTTTGCTTATGTCTCTTGACTCTTCGGTTTCCGCTGCCTCTCCTTCACATTTCACTCCTGTTTTTTTCTGGTGTTTCGATGCTTTACCTTTTTTACTTTCTGAAGTCAAGAACTCGGGACGCAGAGTTCAGATGGGCGATAGTGCGATGTAGTTTGTTGTCCTTGTGAAGAGGCTCGACCGCACTTTGCGTTGCTTGTGGCGTGAACGGAATGCCACGTGGCTGTGTCCAGGTTTCGGACTCGAATGCTCAATATTTCAACAGTTACACAGTGCGGTCTGCACTGGATAAGCGGTAAAGCCAACCTGGCACCTATGCCCCGTTATGCGCCTGACCCATGTGCAACCTGTGTTGAGCACTCAGCCTGTTTCGAGCCCTGCTTCAGGCTGCTACTATCGAACCTACGGCCAAACACAGGACGTGACACATGAGCTTCTTCTGCTGGCATGGTCGGTGTTTGGGAGTCTGAGGTGAGTGTGTCGGCAGAAAGCACACGCCCAGAGCCTCTGTGCAGGAGCTCAACATGTTGTTCGACCGAAAGAATGGACTCTCCCCGGGCAAATACTACCAGGCCAACCCGGGCGGCACAATCGCCAGTGCTTGGACAAGTCAAGCTTGAGCTGCTGAGCAGGTTGTGCTTATGGGCGTGGCTATGGACGAGGCCAGATACGGCATGTCCTGGTTCCGGTCCACCGCTTTCCAGAAGAACGTTGCCTGTGTATCGTTAAGTCTCCAAAGATTCCACAGGCGATCCGTGATGGGGAGTACGTGCACATCTTCACGACAGACGCAATGGGCTAAGATGTGCCGAAGCCAGGGCAAGGGATTCTGTCATACAAGGTACCTCTAGTTTTCGGAAACTCCCACATGCACAATGGGCCCCAAAACCCTAAGGACGTGGACCTCCACCCATACATTGCCTTGGAGCGCGGTATTGCAACGCTCTACAGATCGCCACAGGACAGCTGACTGATGTGTTGCTGGTACGGTGCTTTCGAATTGTGCTCCTGAGGACCCGGCTTATGGTTCGCAAGGTGTGAAATTTGCCGAAACCGACGGTGTGAAGATTTCTAGCGGCTCGGGCACAGAGCCCCTTGTCGGCATGTAAATACATGCGTGGAGGCTGCCGCTCTGCCTTGTCTTCGTGCTGCTCTTGCTTTCCTCGCCTCAGGATGCTGGAGCTGAAGGGTGGCACGGAGCGCATGTTTGCTATTGCTGTGCAGGGAATTTTCGACCCGTGGTGTCTGTGTGGATGCATGTGCTGCCTCTGTAGTTGGTTATCGGCATGGAGATGTTCGACTTTGGAAATGACACGGATTTGAAAGGGCTTCCTGTGCATGGCCGCAAGGAGTTGAGACTTGAGCTCAAAGGCGACCCTTTGGGAGGTGGCATCTCCGCGTGCGGTGCTGTGGTTATGTGGGAACCCCAGCTACTCATGGCCAAGCCACTACACTCAGGTCGGCAGTCTTGCGGCTGTACCTGTGGCCTTTGACGCAGTGGAATGTTGCCAACGCCTGCACGGTCATGTGCATCGCCCACGACCAGGCAACCTTCCTGTGCCAGGACTTGAGTCTCGGAACCTGGCAAAAGCGCGCAGCCGTAGAGGTCTCGGCACCCTGCGGGGCAGTTCAAGATTGCAAGGGTGATGCAGGGTCCCCAGAGGGCTGGTGAGTTGGCTAAGGTGTCAGACCGCTGTTGGCCGCCTCAACCACTTGTGCGAAGGCGATCATCCCCAACTTTCAGCAAAACTTCCTGCGCATCGTGTTGCCATCTGCGATGGCAACGATGACAGAGGTTCTGCTTTATTTGTCCGATTGTTTGTTACCAAATAGGGAGGTTCCTAATGATTGAGTTTCTGTCTTGCTAAAGAGAGCAGCCTGTTCTCTGACCGTGTGCAGTTCATCAGTCACACGCTTGTCTTGCCGGACTTGGTGCTGCCCACGGGCGGTTGGGCGCTTGGAGCTGCTCCACTCCAAGCCCGGTGCTCTACAGCCTGCCAAGCGTTGTGCACTAGGATTCTTCTCCACTCGGCTTGCTGCTCAAATCTCCAAGGCCGGAGATTCTATTGGATGGTTTTTTGGAATTCACCTTAGTACGCGCAAATTTGCAAGTGCTCTGAAGCCCCCTTTGTAGGATCAAGTCGCAGCTGAGAGTGTGGCTTGCCTCCCAAATCCCGAATCATGGGGCCTTTGCAGATCCATTTCACGACTCACATTCACGCCGAGCCAAAGCCAATCTGATAAGACTTGTCATGGACGTCTGGCCGTTACTTTTGACTATGGAAACACTTTCTAGCCTAGTCGTGCGGCTGACAGTGCCAAGCCAGAGATAATTGCCGACAAGTATCCCAGTATTCTACAGGGGATGTCTGTCTGACTGTTCTTTGCAAAGCCAGTTGTCGCTATTTCCTGCTTGCTAAATGCGAAATTCTGCACAGCACTGTCGGTTGCTTCGGGTCACCAGTTTTGCACCCTCTCACGTGCAAGTACTTCTGATGCATGTGGTGCAATAATCTTCATCGAGGCAAGTAACCTTGGATCTTGGTGCACTTTAATCTGCCACGACTTCTGGGCGGTCATGTAGTTTCTGCGCCAGAAGATCAAGATGCAAAGTGCATGTTCACAGGATCCCTTTCCGTCTGCGAGGTGCAAGTGACCGGGACTGTTCATTGCTTTTTTTCGCTTCGCCGCATTTGGCTCAGCGGCGAACGGCAGAGCTACAACCACAAGCTCGGTCATGGCTGCTGTGCAGACAGTGCGGTTGGCGCCTGCTTTCGTAGGTGAGCAAGCTACATATGGCCCCAGCTACCAGGGTGGCCTCGCACCGCCACCAGAGTGGTGGCTGCAGTTTGTGCACGTTTTCGCTCCATGCCACCTGGCACACCTCCAGCAAAACTACCACAATGCCTGGGCTCAGCCCTGCCACTGGCCAACGCACCCATCCACATATCCTGTCAACCCCACCCCGCGTTACTTTGCGCCCACAGCATTCACAAATCAGCCACCCTTCTGCCCAGCTTCTACTTCACAGCCACTGTTACTTCGCACCAACCAGCCTTTCACCCAGCCCCCGGCTTCATCTGCACAGCCACCCCCAATTCAGCTCCCTGTTGCCACTCCAACACGGACATGCCCCCCAAATCCGACCCCACCATCCACATTGACTCCTGCTCAACCTTCGTGGGCAGACCTGTCGGAGGAGCTCGCTCCAGCCAAGCAGGTGGACGAGTTGCCCACTCTGCTTCCCAAGCCCAACAAGGGCAAGGGGAAGGGCAAGAGCAAGTCCGGCAAGAAGCCAAACGGCGGCAAAGGCAACAAACATCGAAACGGATTCCACAACTCCTGGAGCTACGACTACCACGGCTACGACTGGTATTGGCGCTGACAGACACAGTAGCAGCAACTCCAGCAAGTCGTGTCACCTGCACGGGTTCTGCGCATGACTGAGTCAGTGCTGCTGCCACTGCTCCTTCAGGACGATCGATTGTTCAAGGTTTCCCGTAGTGGATTCAACCTGGCTGTTTGTGGACGAGAGATGTGGGGTGACAAAGCCTCCCCCGAACGGGTTTCTTCGATCGACGAACGACCTGCTGTTTGCTGGGAAATCACGGAAACGGCAGACATCCGCATTTTCGGGTTTAAGCTGAACTTAACCCTTTTGCTATTGCACGTTGTTGCCACAGAGAGGCGGACGACACAAAGCCTCACTACACAGTCAGCAGTGGAGACTACATCTACAAGATGCATGATGAAGGTGTCATTCCCCAAGCTCGAGCGTTGATGCCGATGGGTGTTCAAGACAAGAGCAAGGGATGCCGAACCTGCTTAGGTCGGTGTCGGCAAGCTCGTAGAGTTCTATGGCGATGGCGACCAAAGCCCATACCGCGGGGACCGCCGGGCCGTCGGTTGAGTCTCGAGACGCCTTGGCACAGAGTTGTATGCAGGATGACCGAAACATCCTGTACGCAAATCTGGTGCTGCCGTCCACGCTCTTCGCAGCAGTGCAAACTGGTGACGTGCTGCGGCAGCACCAGTGCGATGTTTGGGGTTGCAGCCGAAGGCGTTGGCATGTGCTTTGCATTGGTTCTGTGCTTGCCCAGGCTTACATGACATTGACATTACCCACGGGGTACGAGTGTGTGCGTTTCTCAGCCAAGCAGCTTCCAGTGCCGGCCGTGGTAAGTCTTGGCAGTCTTGTCAGATCATGTGATCAAGTTCCGAGATTGCCAGTGTTCATTGCATTGCAAGGTGCGAACTCCCGACATCAACGGCGAGTCGCCGTGGCGCGCGGAGGAAGCTTTGAATGCTTCAAGGAAAGCACACAGGGGTGAGCCTGTGCATGTTCTGAGGACGATTTGGGCGTCTTCCAGGGCAAGATTCCACAGGGTACTGGCTCACCTGACGAAGGGGGCGGCACAAGGTGCGATGAGAGGGTTGTTCTCGGATGTTGGTGGATTGTCCAGCCGGCCAGGGGTTGGTCGGTCAACGGAAACCAATGTGTGCCCGGCTCAATCCACCGGACATGCAGAAAATGCGTTTGCCCTTCGCACACAGTGCGAAAAGGGGCACCTTCGTCAGGTGTACACGCTGCGCCAGAATGCAGTCATCTATGCCGGCAGCTCCTTGTACATTCGGGAGTGGCTCTCAGACTCTTAGACAGCGTGAGGCTGTTGTGCATAAGGGCTGTTTCAGCAAAGAGACGCTATCGCCAAGGTGACTGCCAACAACCCCGACACTGCACTGCAGCGGATGGACCCAACGAACCGTTGGCAGGTGCTTGTTGATGGAGCCCCTGAGAAGTGGCAGAAGCAGACGCCCGACCAGGTGTCACTGACCAGTAAAGGTTACCACCAGTATGAGGTCACCTTCCCTCCGGTTTCTTGGTCTTACATGAGAGAAGTTCATGCAACCATCGACATCAACAGTAAGATAGTAGCAAGATTTGAGTCAGGTGACCTTCAACACCGTGATGCAAAACTTCAGCTCGAACACGGCCGCAGCCTTTGGCCGTGGCTGCAGCAGAATCAATTACGCCTTCACCGAAAACGGCTTATTCGCTGACATCGCAGGCAGTACTGGGAAAGATCACGCAGCCCTTGATAGTTCCTTCAAACTGGATGTACTCGGTGGGAAGCTTAGGCTTGACATACTTCACAGCTGCCCCTTACAGTTTCCGGTTGCTAAGGAGGGAGGAGTTGTCATGGCACAGGGCTTCCTGAACATCTTCTTCCGGTCAGAGCAGGCCCACGAAGTGCCTCACGCTGATGCTGGCATGTCGACATTCTCGCTTACGTCGTTGCAGGGCACAGGTGTGGAGTCGTCGGTGCATGTTGAGGCGGGCAGCTCGTGGACAAGACTTCAGTCAGCATTGATGTTGATGTTCCTTAGGCTGTTTCCGTACGTTGCCTGCCAGCTCAGGCGCCAGCAGGTTTCTCTTTCTCGCCGAACCCTTGCCGAGTTCAAGACTTGGAGGCGCTCCGCATCCTTGCCATGCTCGTGTAGTTTTCTTGGCACGCTGTGCCGTGATGCAGGACGTGTATTATGCCACTCCAGGGCAGATGGGATCACCGACGCACCGCTTACCAGGTAGGCCCTTGTCACTACATGCAATGCAACGTGGCTTCAATAAGGGACGCAGCAGTTGCCATGCAGGCATCGTGTCCTGCGATCATCGAAGCTTCCCCTACAACCACGCTGCTGTGAAGCTGACGGGTGCCATCTTGTCCGGGTCACGGGAGTCAATGTGATGCTGAAACATGGTGAATGGAGCACCTCTGGAGCTACGCCTCTGCAACAGGTCGAATTCCAATTATGCATTTGGACTCTGGGTCTCGAATGCGGAGGTCGCTCGTGCAAATGCCACGGCAGTATCTGGACTAATTTGCTCTCGACTTTGATCCGCGGAGTCCTGACCTTCTTGCCAGGTGTATGCGGACTCACAGCGAACCGGCTGGAGGTACGCTACATGTTACATGACTTGTGCCATAACTCGAGCAATCAATCAATTTAGCTATCTGTCAACTTCGGTATTTTCCCCTGCCGAGGATTTACACATTAGACATGAACGACTTCAAGGTGGTCGCAGCCTTGACCCAGGATCTTGCATCATGTTGGGCTGTACGAAACTGAACTTCAGGATGGGACGCCAATGCCGATTCCGGCGTTGGCACACACAGCGACGAGTCTGACGATGCCGGACACAATGCTGAGTTTTGGACTCTACCGGGTGGCTGCGAAGCACATGCTAGTGCTGACCTTTCCGTTTTCCTCAGCAGGAGTTTCTGTACAGACTGTCGTGCCAACCATCCCAGGCACAGATCAACACACAGACGACGCTAAACGTGCAGGCCTTCTCGCGACAAGTGCATGCACATGCGGACTTGCAAATCACACTGCATCGGCATTTGCCTTTCCGTGCTTTGCAGGTGTCCATTGAAAGCACTGTTCCGTACACAATGCTGCATGCCGAGAGCATCGTCGGATATCATGATATCATCAGGTCTCTCATGAAGGACGTGTCAGCATCCGGCCCTTGAAGACCGAGGTCAATGCAGAGAACATGGGTGACCGTCCTTCCTTTGAGGGCCGGGCTCCTGAGACCTCTGCGTTGTTGGGCGGAAAGCGCTGGCCAGATGAGCAAAAGTCAGACTTGGCAAGGTCGGAGAGCAGATCACCTCCACCCTGCGAGCGGGGGCCTTGTCGGTGTTCGAGCAGGATTTGCATCCCAATCTTGCAGCTTGCGCCAGGTAGCAGCACCCATGGGGTCAGCTTCCAAGTGTAGAGGAACTTGAAGGATTGAAAGACGACGTAGCACACTTGGCAATGCACCTGCCAGGTACGAGTGGGATTTTGCGAATTCCGAATTCCGTCACCTCGCTCCCTTCCCGAATACGCCTGAAGCCCAACAGCATGCTTGTTCAAGCAATCTGCCACTGAGCGCTCTGTTCATCTGTGCGACGCTGCAGCGACAGAAACATAGCAAGGACGGAGAGCCTCTGGCTGATGGGTACCACGGGAACGCTTCCAGGCAAGTTGGCAGAGATCTGGGATCACTGGATCATTGACCTTTCGGACCTTCCTTTGCAAGCGCGGAGGCAGATATCCGCAGCGGCAGGGAAACGTCTTGCTGTGGAACCAGGCCTTTGCGTCAGCTGCTACAGTAACCTCTGCGATGTTCCCGCTTTTGATGCACCGCTTCACTGTAAAAGAGCTTGCGCTTGCAGATTCGCAGATGGAGCTTGGCTGGTGTTGCGGCCCTCTGAATGAATGTCTTTGTTCTCAGCAGGCGAGGATGTATTGGCCCAACGAGACTTACGGGTCATCCCTGCCATGGTTGCTGAGAATCGCGAGTGCTTCCTTTAGTCGGGTGCTTGGCAGGTTTCAGACGTACATCCGCGTCCCCGACCGGTCGTGGCCTCTGCTTGAAGCCGGCGGTAGTGGCGGGGAACCGGGCCCTGAGAGGACTCCAAGCGCTGCTCCGAATTGGTTCATCTTCGAGTTTGGCTTCGCACGGGGCTCAGGATCAGAGGCCTGAAACGCTCCAGAAACGCGGGAAACGGATGCTTCTCCGTGCCATGTCTTTATTCGACTTTGGACTGGGTTGCGGCGTGGAGTGGCTTTTCAGTCTGCGACACGAGCAGTTGGGGAAACCATACCTCACAAAGCGGTCTCAAGCTTGTCCTGTGATGGCTGCTTCTGTGGTTTCGCTTTCCAATCTCCAGAACATGCGTCGGACAATGAGTGGTTCTGCACATGCTGCTACGAGCATCATTGCACAGCATGCCTGTCTCAGACGATGTGACCAGCTTATGTAGAGTAAAGAGTGGCACAGCTGTTGTTTTTTAGGCATTTACGCGCGAGCCGGCAGTGGGTTTAGGATCTGGGAAGCTGTTACGAAGAGATGTCAGGGTTACTCGGCAGCAGCTCAGGCGGCTCAAAGCGGCCGTGTCGTAGACCCCAGCGACCAGCTGCGTCCTGATGCGGTAGTTTGGAGGTGGGGATTCAGCGCCGCTGGAAGCTGCTAAGCTGCTGGTGTATTGCCGTCGTCACCACGGAGCACTGGGACGACCACGGCCTGGAGCACCTCCTTTGTTGGCTGGAGTTTTCAGAGCTGCTTCCATGTGGTGCGGTGTCGAAGCGATGGTGTTCCATTCTTTTGCCTGCTGGTCGTCCGACTGGCCTTCCTTGGAGACAGGCCGTAGTCTGGTTGTCCGGGCCCTCCTTTTCCGTGTGTGAGGTTCAAGGCCAAGGACTACTCGCGAGATGGCCAGGAATTGAAGTTTTCCTACCTACGCGCGAGTTGTCGAACTCACTGGTTGCGTTACCTCTTGGAGCTCGGCCCATCGCCGAGGCATTGCCGATTCAGTCATGGCCAGGGATCGACTGCAGGTCGCTGATCTTCCAAACCTTGAGCTGGCCGGTCTCAGCATACACGCATCCTGAGCGGTCAACCTCGAACAGGTTTTTCTCCGGAAAGTGCCTTCCGCTCTGCCCTCTATGTGCCGGAGTGGCTTTTTATCAGGGTTCAGGGTTCACACGTGCCGATATTGCGACAGGATGGCACGGTTTCCTGCTTTGCAACCTCGGTCCATGGTCCGAACGGAGTCTTCTCCTCTCAACTCTTTTCGCAAATATGGGTGTTACTGAAGACATGGTCCCAAATATTGCCGTGCAACTTCGCCCTGCCAGCGGGGAAGAAGATGAAGCAGCTCCGGTTGAGGATGCCACGGGAGATGTCACGCCCGGGCTCGATGCCCGCGGTGAGATGGGGATGGAGATCATAGACAGCTTCTCCACACTTTGGCGAGGTCCAAAGAGCAGCATGGCCCAAAACATCATCAGCATCGCACTTCCCTGCAGCTTTCGTCTGCGAATAGCTGGCATTTGCTTGGCCGAGCTTGGGATTATGGCCTTCTTTTGCGAGCAGGTGAACAAGACGGCCTGCACATCTCGGACTCGTGTGGGTCGATACTTAGATGATCAACCCGCCAGGATGCCCCGGGCCCATGTCTTCGGAACTCGTACGTTGCCTGAGTCGCCGTCGTGTGCGGAATGGCCAGCTTGGCTACCTCCGAAAAGCTTGAAATCCACCGAGAGTGATGCATCCGAGCCCTGCCCATATTGTGGGGCCAGCGGATTTCTCTTGAACTCTGCAGTCGTGAGCGTCTTGTCGTGGGAGGCCGAGAAGACAGCCTTGGCCTTCCAGCCCGTAGAGGCAGAGCAAGCATTCCATGGAAGCCTTTGGGTTTGCAGTTCCCACCTCTGGGGATGGAGATGGCGTCGCGCGGGACTTCTCGTGACAAGCGAGTGATTAGACTCTGGGCTCTGTTCGAGAAGCTTAGCCTTCTTATGGCTTCTGTGCCAAAGACGCACCAGACAGGCGCATCAACAAAAATGCTGCAAAGCCTTCACAGTTCAAGGGATACTTTCCTAGTGCTGTGGTGGCCTAGGATGGCAACTCACTGGCCACAAGGCATGCAGCTTCAGCGGCGGGTGCCTGAGAGCTTCCGACTAATGGAAGCGTAGCGTGGGGCCATGTGGGGTCCTTATAATAAGGATCCTACTATTTAGGATACTATACAATATTAGTGGTCCCCTTTTTCGGAAACTCCCATGTGTTGCTTTGCGGCGGTTTCGCTACTCGATGCCAAGGTTCCGGCTCCGGCGGTGCAGTCGTTGACCAACGCCGCTATGGAGTACAACACGAACGTGGAGGGGAAGGCAACCGATTTTTCCAGGAAATCGAGGTTTTCAAAGACTTCCAAATCTCCTGAAGCACCACTGGCAACGAAAAGGCTGCAAACAAACGGGCAGACGAAACCGAGAACCAATGGTTTGTCAGGAAGAGCACCAGTGCATGCACACACGTATAATTATTGGCACCCCTTTCGTACCAGTGCAGACTCCAAACAGTGAAAGAGCGACAAGAATTCCAAGCCCTATACATGTCCACCAAATTTCAAGAGGGCCAAAAAGGGCAGCGTGTGAGACGACACCGACAGGACTTCAATGACCTCAAACGATCTGTGGGCCAGAATGAGCACGGGGCTGTGGCCGGAGCGGATTCGCCAAGTTCGGGAGCGCCAAAGTATTGGATGTATGCGAGCTGCCCGCGTGCCCAGGCGAGCGCGTGTGGGACGGACCCTGAACGTAAACCTTTTGAGCGCCGAAGCGTTGCCACGCTGTTTGGGGATGCACGCATTGCCTGATACCTTCGGTAGCCAATGGGAGAACTTCAAATTTTTTGCCCTCATATACTTACACACATTTTTTCGTTTTGGTCTATCTGGGAAAGTTTGAACTTTGGGCCCGGTTGTTGAAGAAGAGAGATACCCACCTGCAAGCACATCGAAGCAAGCAATGGATTTTGGGGCCGGGCTTTAGGTGTCTATTGCTTCAGGGTTTCTGGGAGTTCGGGTGTGTGGTAGAAGGCCAGGAGAGGCTGAGCCGGTGAGGGCTTTCAGGTTGTCAGGGTTTTGTGGTTTGGGCAGTTTCTGGCTCAAGCAGGGTTCCAAGTGGCCTTTATTTTGGCTTAGGAAGAGCGGCCGAGTCTTTGGGTTTTAGGGTTTAGCTTCTAAGGCTGTCGGATGGGTTCAAAAGCTTTACGGATTATCCACAGTATTCCATGACTTGCAATGATCGTATCACTGCGAGAATGGTCGTGTGTTGCGCACGCATCCATGGTGCTCGAATCCGATTCGCGCACAAATCCTGTGTGCTTGACAAGTGCAAGTCAGGGATATTACACGATTCTGTGACAGGTGAATCCGATCGTTTTCCAGATCCAGACCATCAGCCAGGCAAGACTTCATGGGGGGCCCGCTCATCCCAGAAAGAAGACGTGCAACAAATGCACATTTGCCAGATCCCGGCGGGCGGCGGGCTTCTCATCGAGGGCCCGCTCGGCTTCGAGTTCCCGAATCCCTGCACTCCAGAGGCCGAGGGTTTTTGGGCTCCGAAGGCGTGACTCGAAGCTCCTGGCGGGCGCGGGAGGTGGCTCCAGCTGCTCGCGGGGCGACGTATCAGGTGGAGCCGATGGCGGGGAGTGTTTTGAGGTGGGCCTTTCCCTTTCACCTGTTCTTCGCTCCGGAAAACGTTTGTTGCACCTTGCTCGCAGTCTGCCAATGGAAGTGGCATGCAGCTATCAGCAGACGACTGGCCCAACTGGCCGGAGCATCGTCAGGCGCACTCTAAGCTTCCTCGGCTTGTGGCTGTGTCTAGCTTTGTTGCAACATTCAGGCTAACTGCTGGCGCATCCGGCATCATGCCAAGCCCCGAGCTGTTGCATATGATCGCATAGAGGGAAGCGGTGATAGTGCCACGCATGTCAGGCCCGGCCTTTACCGTTTCCAGTTGCTCGGGAAAAACCCTGCGACAGTGCTTTGACAGCACCGGGGATTTGGGTGGGGAGTGGGGGTGCCAGAGTGAAGCGGACGTACAGTGGCTCCCCATCACGAGGCAGTCGCCAATTCCGTCGACAACACGAAGCTGCCTATCTGCAGAGAGTCCGCCATTGCAATTGCAGATAAAAGTGTAACTCAGGCCCTGCATGATGCAGTTCTGCTGGGACTTCCACTCCCTTCGGGTGCCGTCAGCAAGATTTTGTCATGTTGGCAAAGAGCTCACTGCGTTGTTTATCTCTGCTGTACTTCTGTGGTATAAAGCTGGAGCTGCTAGCTTGCCTGAGTTGCAGGTGATTGGCAATGTCAACACCAAGCTGGACTCAAGCATTAGCATCCCTTCTTTCGACATCAATGTGAAGATGGTCGAGGTTCCGACGGTCAGGTGACGTGTGTGAGTCTGCCTCAACAGAAACTCGCTGTGTTCCTTCAGGCCCTCATACCGGAGCTGACCAGAGAACAGCAGGCTCAGCCACAACGGGAAACACAGACTCTCTCCCACACCCTTACCCTTTGGATATCCTTCCCTTTTGCAGGCAGCCACCGGAAGAGATGTTGCCAGCTGAGACTTTTCCCCTTGTTTTCCGCAGAGGAGACGAGTGTCCACGCTTGTTCAAGGACCGGCCCCTGAGCAGAAATCCCTTGGTCTTCAAGCTGCAGTCTCAGCTTTGCCGGTGTCAGCTCTGGTGTTTCTGTCTGCATCTTGTGGTGCCAAAGGTTCAAGCTGGGGAGCGCTGCCATCTTTTCGGGGACAATGCTGATCAGGAGCCGAAGCCAAAAAGTCCCCTCGCAGTCCCGGCCCGGCCGATGTGCTTTGCAGGGGGCCCTTGGGCACCATCTTCCGGGAAGACTGCGCAGAGGACGTTGAAGTGCGACCCACTGAGGCCACGAGAGCACGGAGAAGCAGCTGGTAGAAGCATGTGCAAATACGTGCGACGTGGTGCCGGAGGTGTTTGGAACAGGGCAGATGCTACCGGAAGAGTGCGCTCGGCATTCAATCTGGTTCTTGGGCTTGCAGATGCCGTGCAACACCAAGGTATGCAGTTTGGCCGCAGGGTGTCGAGATAGTGAGCTGCAGAGGTGAAGGTCCAGATGCAAGGACGCGTTCGTGATCGTTCCTACGGTTGATGTCCTGCAGCTGAATCCTGTATGCCACCATGGCTTGGAGGATAGTGATCGATCCTGGAGTTACGGACGGTGCGCAGCAGAGTTGTTCGAATCTGGAATCGCAGAGTCGGTTGTAAGATGGCCAACCGCTGCAAGCGTCCAGGCCTATTGTTCGAGGTCTTCTACCCGATTCGTGTGGCCGTCTTGCACAATCCAGTCGTGCAGCCCATCGACAACAGGTGTCGCCGAACGTGCGAGCCTGGCCAGTATTGTCAGTAGCTATCCTTCTCCATCCAGGTGGACTTTGGACTTCAATGGAGAGTCTTCCGACCCTTTTGATGGCTACATGTTATGGACATTCACCAGGACATGGAGTTTTGCCTGCTGCCTCGGTGACGTCCGTGCTGCGTGCCGTTGGCATGAGATGTCCCTTCCCCCAAAGGGTGTGTATCCTGGCAGCGGTAGGACATCGTTGCTGACTGCGACGATGGGCCGCTCGACAACGGTGACAGGTGATCCCTTTTTGTCGAATCCTGCTGCGAGCCCAGTTCCGTTGGCTGCTTTCGAAGCCACAGAAAAGCGTGCCGATGATGTCACTGGCAACCAGGTGACTTTCACATTCCGTCCGAAAAACACGGTGAAAGGCGCTGCCTCCTTCCAAATTTGTTTTTGTTCACTGCCCTGTCGGATGGTTAACGCTCTACCGGCAGTGTCTGCGGATCAAGAAACAGACCATGTCAGGTGCTGGCATGATCATCCGGGTGCATGCTGCCATGATTTGCTTTCGCGGTTTGTGCTGTGTTCGTTTGGCATCACTATCTGAGAAGACGTTATGCCATCTGTTTACATGATCCAGAAGTGTCTGTACATCAGTTGCACAGTGTCGAGAACTTGACTGTGATGGCTCAGAGTTGCATTGGATCTTGCATGCTTGTGTGGTCTACATCGCAAGGAGCCTTAATGCAAGACGAAGGAATTCAAAGTGGTGCAGCTCGGACAGTGCAAGTGCAAACACACTTCCCTCCGAAAGCAGCATACTTGATGCCTCAGTGTACGGTGGCGTCTGAGTCTCAGAGAAGTAAAGCCGAGATGACGGCAGAGATATGTCGCTTGCAGGCCGACCCTGCACCCGGGAAGTCTTCATGTAGGCCCATCCATTCCGTGGTGAGCTAAGCACGAGCTGCAGCGATGAGTGCCAGTCCCAGTGAGTTTCCTCGATGCTTTTGCCGCTTCATTTGGCTCAAGAGGACGGGTTCTGAGCTCGGCAAACCCTCCAGCTCGATCCCCTTCCATTTCCATTGTCAAGGCAGGTGTCGACATGCATCTGCTGAGTGCCCATGAATGCTTCTTCAGGTCAGCGATAGCGCCATGTCGAGTCTTTTGAGGAAGTGCCTGGCAGCAGGTCCGGAAGCTTCTGCAGTCTCTGATGTGGCTTAGACCCCCCGGGCCCGCAGGCATCTTGTTGGAGCCTCTGGCGATGGACCTGACTTGTGTCACTTCAGGCCGCATCGAACTGCAAGGGATTGAAAGTAGCAAGTCATCCTGTCGCACTGGTAATTGAATTGTACCGACATGCTGAAGCCGGATGCGGAGGACACGCCATGAGCGAGGATGTCATCGAGCAGTGCGAGAGTGATTTGTTGGACGCCCAGGAGGCGCGGGTCTTGTTGCTATGTCGTCTCAGCCATATGTATGAATGAATGAATGTATGTCTGCAAGTATGTGTACATGTGTATGCATTTATGCATGAATGCGTGCATGCATGTATGCAGGTAGGTATGTATCAGGCAAGAGTGCATGCAGGCATGCATGTACTTACGCATGTGTGCATGTATGTATGTACGTACGCATTTATGCATGTGTGTACCTCTGTGAGTGTGTTCGGAAGTAGGTATAGGTAGGTATGTATGCATGTGTATGTCATGGACGTAAGAACGAGCCTACGTACGTACCTACGTACATACGTATGAATGTAAGTAAGTATACATGTGTGTGTGTGTGTCTGGTAGTTATATACAGTAGATAGAAGATGACACGGGCATGACTGACCTTGTCCAAGACTGGGCGCACATTCGTGGGCCACTTTCCTGTCTAGATTTGTCAATCGCGAGAAGGAGAAGGTTCACTACTGGGGTAGTACAAGCGATGTCCATGTTGACATCGAACTTACTAGGACTGCTACTGTGCTTGTATGAATATTGGCATTCACATATGCATGCATGTATGTATGCATGCGTTCACGTATGCAGGCATGTTTTCGTGTACGTACGTACCTATGCATGTATCTATGTAGGTAGGTAGCTATGTATGTATATATATGTTCGGTTTCATACATGCTGTATGTACTGCATCTACTGTGTGTATTGTACGTACTGTATGTATTGTATGTACGGTATGTATTGTATATAGTGTATTGCGTGATGTAGTGAATGTTTCGTGTGCATTGTATGTAGTGTGTTTGTGTGTGTGTGCGCTTCGTGTACTGTACGTAGTGCATGCGCTGTTTGTATCAAGGTATTGTATGTATTGTGTGCATGTGTACGCACGTGTATGTGTGTGTGGGCATGTGTATGCACGTGTATGCATGTGTATGCATGTATGCATGTAAGTGTAGCAGGTATGCATGTGTGTATGTCTGTGTCGAAGGTAGCATGTCTGCATGCAGGGCCTGAGCCCTCGCTTACCCCCACGCCCACTGCATTGCATCCCCCCCATCTCTCTGTGGCGGGGCACCTGTGGTCTCGCTTGGGTTCCTGGTCTCGCTTCTTTTTCTCCCACCCTCTCCCGTGGGGTGGTGCCTGTGGTGTTCGCAGTTGGTTATAGTAAACAGGAACACTGGCTCTCTCTCCAAGCTTGTGTCAACGTGTTGTGTCTGTTCCAGCATGCCACCAAGAAGAAGTTGCAGTCGTTGCATGTTGTAATCACATTGGACTGGCTGCTGCGCAGCTGGCAAACCTACGAAAGTATGCTTGCAGCCGTTTGTCATCCTTATTGTGATTGTAAACACACTTACTACGCTAGAGGCAGCGGTTCTGAACTTGTTTTCAGTTGCCGATGGTGCCCCTGTCGCTGTGGCATAGCCTCTCCCCTTGTGGTTGGGTGGCAGAAGATCTGTGGGGGTGCGAGCAGCGAACCGCGTCTGCAACCTGCCCTTCCACAAAAACAAGAAAATCATGCAACTCACCACGACGTGCCAGCTACTGCACGTCGAAAAGCTTGCCTGAGTCAAGTGAGATGTGACACCAAATGGTCCAATCCCAGGTGGAGATCCCATGCTCTGAAAGCCAGGACTCTCACCGCTGTGCCAGTTGTCGGGCGATGGGTACCATGCGGAGGGCGGGGGTAAGGGGGAAGGGGGGGTGGGGTTCGAGCAGCCCGGGACCCGGGATCGTAGATATATACACACAAGTACACACGTATGTATGTACACACGCATACACGTATGTTCTGTGTACATATGTATATAATATGTCTTTATCTGTATCTACGTACATACACACGAACGTGTATATGTATATATATATATATATATACATATGTCTTGCAGGTCTGTCCGAATGTCATTTGAGATTCGTGTAAGTGTAGATCTGCCTCTGGACTCTGGATTTGCGCACGTGTTTGTGTACAAAGATAAGGATGCAAGTATTGTTGATCACTTGGCAGATGTGCCACTACAGCAAAGCTCACCACCTGACTATGTCTCCGCACAGATCAGCTGCCGAAAAACGCAACGTCAAAACATTTTTCAAGATGATGCAGCGATCAGTCTCGCGGAAGAAGAAAATGCATCAAGGGTAGTGGTGTTTCAAGGTGGTCGAAGCTCCAATGCAATACATTGTGTTACATGGATTTAAGGCTTTGTTTAGCCTCACACAGTGTCGTACTGGTGTAAAGGGTCATGGCATGTTATCTTATCATGTTGTATGCCATGACATCTGTTGCTCCATTCTTTATTATAATACATGGTGCTTGCCTGGTGCTCCAACCCTCAAGACTTGGTCTTTCTGATAAGGCACGTACTTTCTGCAAGAAACCAAGACGGCTCCGAGTTGGGATTTCGGGCCAAGAAAGCATCGGTAGATGGCAATGCCGTGAGGGACTGCCATGCCGCCGCAAAGTACAGCAACACTACAGACTGCGACATCTACGGAGTACTGCTTCAACACTTTCAATCTTACGCAAACTCCGACATTAGGATTTGTCTGAAAGACGGTGGCCGCCAGGTCTCGCTGCTGCAAATGGATCATCAGGTAGACCTGCACGGGTCTGCACAGCTTGAAAATGCCGACGACGGCGACGGCGACGGGGACGGAGATGCCGATGCTTTCGGTAACAGCGACTCCTCGAGCACCCCGGCTGCACGAGCCGCTTCAGTTTAGAGAGCCTCTCGCCCACATGTCCTTATGTGGGGCGTGGTGTGGGGAGTTGTGTGGACTCAGTCTGGCTTCTGAGGTGCATCATTGCGGCAAAACATCACGCTCGAAGAGGTCGCATTTGTGCAGGCTCGCGAACATTGACTAAGCCATCTAAGCCATTCAACTACAGGCACGTCATCCAAAAAGGTCCAGTTCCATGCAAGGGTCAACCGCCAGGAAGCTACAAATCGCACTTCAGTGGCACTGCAAAGTCTGGACGTCCTCGGACACCTGGAGTACGAGCTGCAGGCAGGGAGATGACTAGAGGTGAATCGCTTCGACCCAGCAGATCGTGTGAGGTCGGCGCGGGCCCCAGCGCCAAGAGCAAGGCCGTCCCGGGCTCCTTTTTGATAGGAAATAGCTGTGAGGGCTGACAGTCCTCGTTGGCTTTGTAGCACGACGTACAAGACGAGTCCACCCGCCGAGCAGAATGCGTCTTCAGAAAGAGTGAGAGGGCTCTTGGCAGGTGGCCTTGGCTCTGATGGAGCTGACGGTGGTGCCTGGAGTGCTGGGACTCGATCGATGCTACATGGGCCGCTTGCCTGCAAAGAGTGGGATAATGTCGCCAGGAGGCCGTACCAGCACAGGCTGCATTGGGAGTCAGACTTGTGCGCAAGAGGTCAGTGCGGCCTGGGGATTGTCAAAGCAGCCACGTTCGGAGGTGCACGTTCGGGAAGAAGCTTGTGTCCTCAATGTCCTGAATTCCCTGCATATTGCTACCAGCATGTTGCTCTGCGGTAGGCTTGACGGTCTGGTTCATCTTCGACTTCTTGGCAGTTGTGATGACCTGCCTGTCAGGGGTGGGGGCTTGTCAAATGTAGCTTGCAATGCTGATTCTCTACCGGATGAGCAGCTCTGTGCATGTTGAAAATCCTTTTGACCCTGACAGCACAAGTACATGAATGCCTTCGGCATGAAGGGCAAGTTTATTGATAACGAGGCTGGCCTGTCAGTGAGTCATGGATGGTGAGGGACGCGGCTCTTGGAGTGGAAGTGACTTCTTTTTGACTGACCCTGCCGTCTGCAGATCACCTTTGCATTCTGGTTGGCGCTGGTGTGGATATTGGGCATGTTCATGATATGCTGCACGCAGTCTGTCCCTTGATGCACTTGGCCTTGCATTGCCTGGAGCTAGACCATCGAGGCTGTTGCTAGAGCAGTAAGAGACCAGTTGACTGGAAGAGTGCTGCAGCAGCTTAGAAGACTCTGGCATAAGGTCAAGATGATGACAAGGCCGACGCCAGTGCCAGGAAAGAATTCTCCATGACGAGTGCTCTGGAATGCATGAGTGAACATATCATGAAACAATCACGGGTATCATTGCTTTACGAGCTGTTTGTTCTGGTGCAGTCATCGCTAATAACGAGCTGAGGTGATGTGCTCAAATTGCTCGATGTTGTATGCCGCATGCCACAACATGTTTCACAGGTCAGACTTGGCCAAGCAGCCAAAAAAGTGCGTGCCGCGATCTTTGTGCTTGGACAGACTGCCAGCAGAAGTCGTTTTGAGCGTCTCCTCAGGTGGGCGCTGCATGCGCGCACGCACGAAGAGGACAAGAAGGACGACAAAAAAGAAGAGAAAGCAAAAGTAAAGAAGAAACAGCGCCGCCCACAGCAACGCCGGCGGACTTTTTACAAGAGGGGTTCTTGCCCCCAATTCTGCTTCCCTTCAGTATCAAATTCGGTGTGTTTAGCTGTCGCACACGTGAGGGAATTTGTGCGGCGGTTCATGGTCATGCTGCCATGCTCCGAATGCGCTGGGAAAGCCTGGCCAGGTGGAAGGAGCGGCACCAGCTCGTCTGGAGCAACGACACTCAGGCACCGAATACACGGTGCTTCTTGGCCGCACACATGCTACTCGAATGTAGGGTCCCCTGTACATATATTTTAGCAACCAAGAATAAATGAAGAGTGATACATATATATATATATATATATATGTTATATATGTTATATATATATATATATGTAGTTATACATGGGTATATATGTATGTGTATTAATAATGCAATGTGTAGAACAGGATAGAATATACTATAATACACTACAATAGAAAGCAATAGACTATAGCAGAGTATAACAGAATCGACCATAGCGTACTTAGGTAACATAATATGATACAGTATACTATACTGTAACGTAATTTGTAAAATAGAACGTGGTTTAATACAACATGGTAATCTATAGTATGCGTTGATCTATTTGCTCATTCGTTTGTGTATTTATAGGTAGTAGCTGCCCTGGACCAACCGCAGCTCCAGGGCGAAGAGGATAAGAGTCTAACACCATGAATGCCTCTACATTTGGCTTTTATTGCTTCGATCCGTGACATTCAGGCAGTACTAGAAGCAGGTTCCATTGTTGTACACGCGTCTGTACACCTGAGTCAAAATCGAGGTCAATTTCTAGATTCGCTGTTTTGCCGGTCTATGAAATGAGGCCCTGTGTTACAGGAAATACAGGCGTTCTGCTGTAGTGTAGCGTGTATTTGCAACACGACTATATAGTACTTCTCACTCACATCATCATGCACAGGTCATAAGAATTAGGCAAAGCCTTGGTTGCTGTGTTCAGACACATCCAAAGATATTTCAACTGTAAGTGCTTGATGCTTATGCGTGATTGAGAGTTTACTTGAGCTGTGGTATCTGGTTGGTGTTCACCTTGTATATGTTTAAGCACTTGTTGGCGGTCATTTGGTGCTCAGTGTTAAACATCGCAGCTGCTAGCTCATGGGTCTTTGACCACATATGTAATGGCTTCTAGCTGGCTGCATGATGTTTAGCCAGTGTTCACATATGTGCTATATACTCAGCACTTGCTTGATGTCAAGATGCTATCAGTTCATACTTACCCACACGAAGACATGGCAGCAATTAAAAACAGTTAGCATCAGTGCTTGCTTGAGGTTTTCTCCATACTGCTAGATAGTTAAGAAATGTTGGCTAGGATAGCCCGGACATTTACATAATTAATGTCCGAATCACTTTTCCACAGTTCTTCCTAAAGTTCGCGGCTCGGGTTAAACACCATCAAGTTAAGCGGTAGTCATTGATAGTTACTTGAACATTGATTGATAGTGCACTTAACCACCAGAAAATACTGCAACAGCTTACGTGTTAGTAGCATGTAGGCTACCCCTTCTCTGTCAGTGTTGGATCGATGTCCTCTCGGTGTTACTATGTAGCAAGTGATATTTGTGTCATATAAAGAAAACGGATCGCTTTTGAAATCTTCGTAGCCCAGTACTAATGAAACATCTAATCGAGCACTTCCAAAACAAACAACATTCGTTTCAACATGCTTCAACTACGCAGTGTTTTAAACATGTAAAAATGTGTGTGGCGGGTCTGGCATCTGCGAATACTTTGTGTTAATATCATTGTTTTGACATCCTGAGCAAAGATTGAGTAAGTACTTGGCTGCCACCAATCGAGAGTATATGCATTGGTAGTTGGGATTCGTGTTACAACTTTATATTCACATGTTCACCGGGTATGGAGCAACCCAGATCTGTTCAGTAACCAACCCATGAAATCAGGTACAGATCGGGCTACAGCTCTATACTACGGCAATATGGAACTGTTTACTGATGGGGCTTGAATCCTCTGCAGGTATGTTCAACCACGATGTCTGTGCTAAACAGGTGCTACTATGTACAGGAAGTGTGCGCATAACATATCTTGTGGGAAATGTTTTAGTACTACACAAGCCCTAAACAGTCCTTTCACAGAACGTAATGCAACTTTATACACCCTTACATACGCATTATGCTTCAGTTCTGGCAAAGTCAAATATCAGGCAAATAAGAGTACGTAGACAGTGACTGTGCCTATTTTGTGCATGTTTATAGGTCAATTGTCAATGGTGAGTGTATTCTATTTTTTGAACTATCTACATGATAGTTCCTCGTATGAAGTATTCGGAAAATTTAGACATCGCATTTCTCGTCGCGTCACATGCAGCAATTCCCAGAGCCTTCTATTTGCTGTTTAAGGCGTACATATCAGATTCCTCAACCAGATTTAGGGACGGTACCCCTTTGCCCCCTGCGCAGTCGGTTAAGTATCTAGGCCCAATAATTTCTTGGGCCATGTAACTGAATTTGCTTCTTACCATAAACGAGCCCTCACCATCGAAGGCTACAAGAAGCTCTGCGAGTATGGAATAGGGAGGAATTCAGCTTCGTTCTGCCAGCGTTGTTGTACGGTCTTATGAAGTGGTTGTTACTTCGGGTACTTACATCGGGGCATTTGGGTAAAGGGCGGTTTCTATTCCAAAGTAACCAATCATACCGTTTGCTTGCACGGTTGCCCCAGAAGGCCTGCAGATCACCGTTTTCAGATTGAGCGTGCCTCTCCATGAACCACTGTAGGCTGCAGGGTTCGAAGCTCCTTCATGGATACGATAAAGCTTCGGGGGAGGAAGCGCGGCGGGCAAATTGCGTACTGGGTAGAAACTACTGGCCTACATCACTACGGCATTCTGGGACAACCTGTAACCAAGCCGCTTCGGGTCCTAGCCTCTTTGGGGCACGCGCAAGGTCTGCCTAGCCAGACACGTAAGAGAGCCAGAGTCGGAGCGAACGCACGCCAACCCGCGCACAGAGCCGTGACAAAAGCAAACACAAATGTGCAGAAAATTGTATGCATAGGTGTATAACCAATGCAGTAGCATCAATCTGTATGTATACCAATACCAATATCAATCTCAATATCTGTAGCTGTATATATACCTGTATCTATAGCTATACCAATATCTATACCTATATGTATATCTATATCTATACAAGTATTTCTATCTATATCTATAGCTGTATCTGCATCTATCTCTACATCTCTATCTATATCTATATCTACATGTGTATCTGTATATGTATCTAGGTCTATATCTTTATCCATGAATCTTGCGTTTCTTTCCTCTCTCTCTCTCTCTCGGGTTGCGTGCCACGTGGTTCCGCCCGTCAGAGTACATTACCTATGTATGGTTGCATGTTGGTATAAATAGCAACGCAGCCAGACAGTGGTTTTTCCTTCTCTTAGGTTACTTTGGACGGCCAGTCGAGCGAGGCTGGATCGCAGTTCACCTGCTCCAAAAAAGTCTTGTAGTGAATGAGGGTACCTGAGGTCTTTCTCACAAAGCTAAGTATCGTGTCCCAGATCATTCAAGTGAAGTGCCGTGTCACTAGCTTTTTCGCTGCTCAGAAGACAACCCGGTTGTTCCGCGGCGACGGCTACGGCCGACGTGGCGACTCGATATTCCTGAAGAAGAAACCCCAGAGAAGGCTGGCTGTGATTGTTGCCCCCAACATAGCTCCTCACACATCGCTTGGGCAGGCTTATCGGATCTTCGATGCTCCGAATGCATCCTGGAAGGCGCTGCAGTGCTGTGGGAAAGACAAAGCTTTTCTGTGGAGCCAGGACCAGCCCCAGTGGGTGATGCCGGACGTCCTCAAGTTTGTCTTAGCAGGTTCACCGACGGCGCAGGCGGTCGACTCTGGGTCGCTCAGCGGCAGACAGCACTGAGCACTGCCCAAGCGTTTCGATGCTTCATCTTGCCAGCCGAGGCCGGGATCCTTCGGGCCCAGGCATGTCCCCACGCAGGCCTGCATGCATCTACCTGACATATCTTGTCTGTTTTCGGCAGCCGGCGAGATAAGACATGCCTGGCAGGAAGCATCAGAAAAGGAGCAGCCTTGGACTCAGCTGTGTTCTCATCGTGATCCGAGTTGAGTCAGTCAGTCTCAGGGGAAATCCGGTGATGAAGGCCGCCGAGGCTGGGGTTCCGGTTCCGGAATGCCTGTGCCACCAGCATTTACTTGGTGGTGCTTCCAGGAAGCTCGAAAAGCCGCAGCCGAACAGTGTCGCAAGGTGCCTGCTGTCAGCAAGACTCGCTGTCCACTGTGCTGTGACGCAATCTGCTGCTTGGAGGTAGGGACACCACATGCGCCGGGTGATTTGGCATTTCAGAGGTGGGGTGCAGTGTCAAGATCAGCGGTTAGAGATGCATTTTCTGACAGCCTTGTTTGTCAGCGACGGCGTCAAAAGCTCAACAACTCGCAGCAACTCTGCGGCTCAAGCCGCACGGCCTGCAAGCCCACTCCGCCCAACTTAAGCCATCCTAGTGTTTGTGACTTCCGTTCCTACAGAAGATACGTGAGGAGCCAAGCTGTGAAGCTGTGTCGCTGCTTTTCTTCTGGACCGCCATTGCCTGCACTGACACCAGACTTACCCGGACCTGAGGAAGCGATGCCGATGCCACAGAACATCACGAAAGCGCAAGAAGAAGCGCGACTTGGATGATATCGTTGCGGCTGGACACCGCAGTCAGGTCAAGCACATCATTGGTGTTTAATGGTCTGCCACACGTGTCGTCCTTTCCTGGAGTGCAAGTGCGGCGTAGGACAAGGCGCTGCTTCCCAAAATCCACCAGACCCGGTGAAGTCCGATAAATTCCACCAAGGCAGCGCTATGTCGACCAGCACGGCCTGGATCGCCTGGTGACGAAGCTGATGAACGGCCGCTGTGATGGATCGGGCAACGCATAACACGCCTCCCATGTCATGCTCGGTGCTTCGGGATTGAGGCATCATTGCCGAGAAGCCGGAAGACGCTTGCCTCTAACAGGGACTTGCTCGCTCCACCTGTGTGAACTGCCGGTTTAAGTCCTCCGCCCCCATGTCCTTTTTCTTGTCTGCAAGCTGCAGCCAAGGATCCCAAGCTCTACATGATCAAGTGGCTTGCTGAGCGATGCAGCGACGATCAGCTTGAGAAAGGTGGCCTGGAACGCAAGAGTCACTTGGCAGTCGATCTAGTTGCACAGCCGCTGGCGCGTTGCATGGTAGGGTTTGACAGATCAGAGCTGTGGTTGACCCGAGGAGCAGGAAAATGAGAGAAAGTGGCGGAGAAGTTTCACCCCTTGTTGTCTCACCACAAAATTCAGCTCGTCGTCCCACCTGGGAGAATTCCACACTTCGGCAGAACAAAAAGGCATCGAGTCCGACATGTTTGGCAGCTGTCGCATCCTCGTGTGACTTTTTCATGTGAGGAAGCGCGAGTCTGGATGGGACCGGAAGCATCCGGTCCGGGTCCTGTTTGCTTGGGCGCTGCTGTGACATCATCGTGGCTTCGCCCTGAGCCCCATTTCCTTTGCAGGTGCTCTTCTCCAGGGACAACGATCGCCTTCAGGTGGACCCTCGGATGCTGTGGTAGACATCGCTTCCTTACATCAGTTTAGCCTCTTGATTGGCGACGTCGTGCCAGGTGAACATGCGAAGCTATTTCGATCGATGGAAAGTGACTTTGATGCTTATAGCCGTTTTGCAACACTGTTTGCTGCGCCCAGCTTGACTCGACAGAGAGATATAATATAAGGATGTAGATGACGGCACCCATGAGAAGGAGCCAACTTGGCCGGAAGCCCAGCGCGCCCACGCAGTGCCCAAGATGTATGTAGCGCTTAATTACACTAAGGCGACTTCGTGTTGAGAGAAGGCCGCTGATAGCGAAGTCGGCCTCGGAGCCGTTCATGCCAAAGTTCCAGCCACAAGGCGATCGTTCTTGATGCGCCTGGTCTCGCCCCGTTGGCCCATGTCCAGCCAGGTGGAAGATATGGTCCATGGAATCCCGTTTTCTGATAATGACATTGTGAGCTGAAGTGCCGAATTCTGGTGCTGCATGGTTTCGTCTCACTGAAGTTAGACGTAGTCAGCTCTTCACGCGTACATTGGCGGTCTGCAGCCCATCGATTCACTCAAACGCTCCTGCATGGTAGAGTTCACTCGTTATCTTGTGGCCGGCGTTGCAGAAGAGAGCCATGACGCCAAAGGCGCAGACTCTCACTAGAGCTCTAGTAGGCCAGCCATGGTAAAACCAGTGACTTCTCACATGTTGCAAGGTCTCTCTGCCAGCCTGCGATTGAAAGCCCTGCCAGGTGGAGGCTCCAGATTCCTGGACAATTGCCATTGAAGCAGACGGCCATTGCAAGATGCCTGGCAGCACTAAGAACAGGATCCTGTGGGGCATCGAACGAAAGGAACAGCTTTCATTGTTCGCAAGCTCAGGATCATGATGCAGCCGATATCAGCGGACTCTGCAGGAAAGCCCCCCCTCACCCGGCTTTGCCAACCACCGGCAAGATTCGTCGGCACGGTTTCATCGCCGTTGCTTGCGAAAGTTGTTCTGGGGTGGCTGCTTCTGCAATGGTCACCAAGCGTGCTCATAGCTTTTAGACGCTGTAGCAACGACTTCAACGAAATAAAGGAGTCTGAGACCAGACAGCGCTGCCACATGTCCCAGGGATTCCCAGGGCTTGCGCAGCTTTTCCTGAGCATATCTCGCAAGAATTAGCCCCGACCCACATGTGTGCACTGGCACGGCCATGGCGGCATATGCTCCCCGGATCGCGGAGCCTCGGCAAAGCGCAAGCTACTTGCAGGGACTTGTGCGTATCAAGCCTTCTGGAGAGCTTCAGCCTTTCAGGGAGTCCGAATTTTGGCATAGTTGCAGAGGCCCGCTTGACATTCGTCACCGACGCACCCTCGCCTTGTAAGGATGGTTCGGGACAGGAGGCTGCCATGGCTCGGGAGGTCCTCCGAAGCTTCGAGGAGGACTTTGCGGGTGCCCTATGGCCCACTGATCTTTGGGCCTAGTGCAGATGCGAATCTCAGCCACCCCAGGCGCGGCACCTTTCAAGGGATGCCCAGGTCCAACAGGTGGGCTGCCCAGGTCGTCTTCGCCACTCCACCTCAGCAGCAAAGCCTCTGGAATGAACTAGATGATCCCTGTCAGGTAGGCTGCAGCCTGCACCTCGCCCGCAGCGTCAGTCGTTCCGCAGTCCAGATGGACGCCGTGTCCAGAATGTCCTGTGCGATGATGAGGATCGGCTGTGCCGCCGTCGGAACTGTGGGCTATGCGGGTTTAGCCCGACTCCCACTGTTTTGCTGCAAGTGCGAACTCTGCGCTGTGACGCGGGCTTCGCAGGTTGCGATGCCTCTTCTGGCTCTGGGACCGCTGAAGGCCCCAAGCCCAGCAGATCCTAGCGAAGGAAGCGAGTGCGCTGATGCTTCTCTTCACTCTTCTCTTCAGCCCGCAGCGGTCACCGCTCCCTCTTTGAGGTTGCCCTTGCGAGCGCTGTGGGAGCGATGGGAGGAGCGCACTGGGCATGGCAGCGGAGTGCCTGAGCTGCTACAATGGCACAGCATGTCCGAAAGTCGTGAAGGGTTTTTCCGTCGAGGTGGGATTTTGGATGGCATGATGTGATGATGTTATGTGAGCTTATGTCCCAGGTGGCGTTGGCGCTTACAGTACAGTAGGCTTTCGATAAGTTGGTTGGCCGTCAGGTTGTCGTCAGGTCGCCTCTTAGCTCTTGGTCACACAAGTGCGTTGAATATCATTTATCGCCCCGAACCAGGGCTAGCGCGAGTCGCCGCACTTCGTAGCAGGGCGAAGCAAGTTGTTGGCGCCAGCATCTTCGAGCTGCTTGTGTGGTGCCGTGAACCATCTCGGTGTCACCTGCAGCCTCCGGTAAGCACGATCCATCTCAAATTCCACCATATTGGCGTCATGTCGCGAGCCGGTAACTTTCTCGCTGTAATGGTGCGGTCCGAGTCCTCCGGTAAGCGCGATTCATTGTAAGTTCAATTTGAGCTCACGTTGGCTGGAGCTGCCCACGTCAGAGAAAATCTATTGGAGCGTTTGCTCATGGGAGGGTTTCTGAAAGGTTGTCTAGAAGAGTTTATGGAACGGTTTGATACAAGGTAGAAGGGTTCTCAGAAGTTTTTTAGAGAATGAGCATTGCAGAGGGTGTAGCACGGGTGCCTTGAAGAGGCAAGTTTACGAGAGGGTTCGTAGAATGGTTTAGTCGAGGGATTGTACGGACAGGTAGATGAATGGATGGATGGGTGGGTAGATGCACGGATGGATGGATGAATGGATGGATGGATGCATGGAGTGATGGATGGATGGAGGGAGGGAGGGACGGACAGACAGACGGAGGCAGGGAGGGACGGAGGGACAGAGGGACGGAGGGACGGAGGGAGGCATGGAGGGACGGAGGTCCGGAGGGACGGAGGGACGGATGGAGGGACGGATGGACGGACGGACTGACGGACGGATGCGATGATCTTCGGTGTTGCTTCGCTGATACAAGATATGAGTTAAGCGCTTCCGAGACACTGGTTCTGTACTTGGTCATCATGTGTCTCTGTACGAGTGCCAGCAGCCAGCAGCTCCACCTGAAAGGTGAGCGGGAAAGTCGTCGACAGGGTATCGCCAGGCCTGATGATTTGGGTGCCACTGCTTTAGCCATTCAGCTGCAGCAAACAGCAAAACTGTGACGGCCTTTTTTTTTCGCAGTGGCTTGCGTTCGGCCACTGAGGCTGCTATCGCCAGAGCCCTGGTGATCTCCAGGAGAGCTGTTCGTTGATGTCAGCTGGGATAGGGGGATTGGCAGCTGCAGTGTTGAGGCTGGGAGTTTTCCACCCATCCCCACGACACGGCGTTTGAAGCACCTCGTGAAGTGGGCACACAGGCACCTGCAAGTGCATACGTTGGACAGAAGCGCTTGACTTCGAAGCTGATGTTTCCAAGGCTTCTCACGAGGTGCAGCCCTCCTTCTTGAGCTCTGGTGCTGGGAGAGTTTCGGGTTTAGGTCTTTTAGGTCCATTTCTCAGCTGCTTGTTTCCGGCAGGCCTGGAGCTCTTGCAGGCAACTGGAGATATGCCGTCCTTGTAGAGGTACCTCTGCTAAGAACAGCATCAGGAGAGCACTGAGCGTGTCTGAGCGTAATGTCTGCTGTCGGCGATTGGAGGTTGCATGTGCCTTCGCGCCCGAGACTCGCATGGGAAACCTTCCCCCGGCTGCCATCCGATGGCCATCAAGTAATCAGTACTTTTCCACCCTGAATGGGGGTCGTCCCAGGCCCTGGGCGCAGCGTGCCTACTTCCTGCATGCCATGCGAGGCGGAGGGTTGAGGCGGGGAGGGCTCCACCACACCACCCTGAATTCACCCAATTCCCGTTCCGTTGTCTGCTGTGGTCGCTGTGGTGCAGGGCCCGGCTGCATGGCGAGGGTCCCGGCCAGTCCCTCCGCCACCTGCTGCCGCTCTACCGCTTCCTGCAAAGAAGTGGGGGCCTCCCAGTAAAAGCTAAATGAGCAGCAGTAGCAGTCAGACCGGACTGAGAAACCTGCTCTGCACGTCGAATCTTTACTCTGGTCCAAGAACACGCAGGTGCAGTTGTGGAGGTGCCGCGTGCTGCTAGCGGCTTTGCAAAGCCATGCGCGAACTTGGGTTTGCGAGTTGTGCTGCGCAGCTCTTCCTCTCAAGCTTGCCCTCTCTCTGTTGTATATACGTCTCTCGCTGAAGATGGCGTTTCAGGATGAGTTTGTCATTGGTGCGGGCATCTTGTTTGCAAGAGTGAAGAGACCGTGAAGAGTGTTGGTGACTCTGAAGATCTCAGGACCAGTGGACACAAATTCCCTACTTTTTCCATCAAATTTGGAGCTGAAGCCGCCGGGTTTGGAGCCCTGCTGGGTAACACCCAGCCACTCCCTGCTTCCGAGCCTCAACCGTCTCTATCTCAATCGGCTCTCTAGCCTGGCATCGACGTCCGCAGAGTCCGAGGACAGCGAGGAGAGCTGCAGCGACTCCCCCGCCCTCTCTCCGAACTTCACCTCGCTGCTCCCGCGCCCTTCGGCGCACGAGCTCCTTCGCCAAGCGCAGGTACCGCTCCCTCCCGGCCTGACCGACCTGGCCCGTGACGTCCCCAAGCCGCGGTGCCAGCTTCCGGTCCAGGCGAAGCCGAAGCCGAAAGGGCCGAAAAGCTTCAATTTCGCCGTTGTCTTCCAAGGCTACGATTTGAAAGCGCATGCAGACTTCGAGCTGGTGCCTCGCTTAATCGGCCGGCGTGGCTGCAACATGGCCCCGATCTACAACACCGGGGCTGGCGCACGTGTTCGTGGTCGGGGGAGTGGCTACAAGGAGGTCAGGACGCCTTACGGCGACTACGAGAGGGACGAAACGCTCCAGCTGGCTGTCTCGTGCCGCTCGAAGCTCGGAAGCACTTGTAGAGACTTCAATGTAATAACTTAATGGTTTGCATTCAGCTTCTGCTTGGGTTTGTTTTGTTCTGTGCCCTCTGTGGCTGAGGAAGGAGATCAAGGAGGCAGCGTTGAAAGAGACCCTGGCGCTGGTGAAGGACATCTCGCAGCACTTCCGCCGCTTTTGCCGTGCCTGGGCTGGGATCTTGCATGATCTTGCTTTTCTTGCAAGCGCTGCCGGACTTGATCTGCAACCGGCACATGCATGCTTGCCACCAAGAGGCAAGAACAAGCTGCAATGCACGGATTTGTACGTGGTGCAGTGAAGCTGGCGCTGCTGTGGAGGCAGGCCAGCTTATCCTCACGCCAGTGGCCTTTCTCCCAAGATTAATGATTGCAGGACATCTGTCTGGCTTCTTGTAGATGGGACTCTGTGAGTGGCCAGACATGGGGCAGTGACCTTGCTGAACTTTCTGTGAGGGGTACAGCAGCACGATGAGTGTGAGCTGGGGTCCTGCATGCTGTGCACCAAGGTCTGATGGCATTGAGTTCGAAGCCCTGCGCCGCCGGTGCAATTCGTTCTTCTTGTTGAAAGCTGTTTAGACAAGCAGTCCGACGCACATGCTTGCAGGGCTTCTCTTAAATGCTCCAATTGCGAGAGCAGTTGCATGTCACTTTGTTTCTGGAGGCAGGTGTGCAGAACGTGCCTTGACCACTCCAGGAACGTAATTACATTCTGTACAGGCACTACATGTTGAAGCCAGGGTTTCGGATTCTGCTCTGCGGTTGTTGAGTGGGACACGACGTGCGGCCAACATGTATACGCACGGTGCATTAACCAATAGGCGTGCACGGAAGATGGCTTGATGTCACTAACAGAACCTGCTGCTTCGACTTGAGATGTTTACGATGCAAGACTGACTGGGACGACTCGCCGACGAAGATATCAAGCGTGACATTTGCCAGGTGTAGATGCGAGGGTGAGGTTTGCCAGAGCACCTTGCCCAAGGCCACTACAATCGAAAGGCAGCACGAACGATGTGCATGTAAGACAGCGACCAGCGACCAAGTGGTTGCAACACGCTGCTCGACCAAAATGAGAGTGCCCTGCTTTGTGATTGTCGTTGCGGCAAGGAAAAGTCACTTCTGCAGGTCGTGCTTGAATTGTGCTCGACCCTAGCAGCAGCACGTGGGATGCCGTGCTCCCAGACAGCCCGCAGGTACTCGGGTTCTTAATGGGACGGAGTCCAGAGCGGTGTTTCACTACAGAAAGCGACCTGAAACAGAATC